ACCTCAGAACTTCACCACCTGCTAAGGTATTGGCTTTACCTCCAAAGAACACCCAGGTAGACACGGACTGCCCTCCTAAACTTACCTATGGCCAACACCTCCTGTGGGCAGCGACATGCCGTGAAGATGCCTTCATCCTCTAGAGTAAACATCAGAGGTTTATAGCAGCTAGTGCCACTCTGTAGACCCTCCCTGCCCCATCCTGCTACCATTTTCCTGAGTGGATTCTCCTAGCTTTCTCCTCTGCTCCAGCCACACTGGTCTCAAACATTTAGCATGGCTTTCTCTTGATCTAAAACAGTGGTTCTCAACCTTCCAAATGCTACAGTCCTTTAATACAGTTCCTCATGTCTTGGTGACCCCCAACCATAAAATTATTTAATTGCTACTTCATAACTATAATTTTGCTACTGTTATGAATTGCAATATAAATATCTGATATGAGCCGGGCGGTGGTGGCGCACGCCTTTAATCCCACCACTTGGGAGGCAGAGGCAGGCAGATCTCTGTGAGTTCGAGACCAGCTTGGTCTACAAGAGCTAGTTCCAGGACAGGCCCCCCCAAAACCACAGAGAAACCCTGTCTCGAAAAAAACAAAAAAAAATCTGATATGCAGGATATCGAAAGGGTCATTCAACCCCCACAGGGGTTGCAACCCACCGGCTGAGAACCACTAATCTAGAACTTTCTTCCTTGGCATTCATCAGGCTCCCTCCCTTGTCTGCCTGTGCCTAATTAGTTGAGACCCTCTCTCCAGGGCCACTCCAATCACGCTGGTATAACACGCAGCCTTGCCATCCTGGTCCCTCCATACTTTGTGTTCTGCAGTTTGCTCAGAGCAGTGCCCTTAAGTAGCTCTCTGGGCTTTTTCTCTCCGGTCCTGTTATCCAGCAAGCGTGAAGGCAGAGCTGTTTGTTCCATTCACCGAGGTAATCCCAGCACTCAGAGAGGAGAGTGACAGCAAATGCACGCTCAGTATTCACTGAATCCACGAATGGATGAATGAGTAAAGAAACAACAGCAGCAACCACAAAGGAGGAAGGGAAGCCGGAAGTCGAGGAGTGGGATGTACAAGGCTGGAACCAGTAATGCTGGGTCCATCTGGGCATTCAGGTCCTGGGGTCCTTTGTCTGTCAGCTAAGTCGTCAGAACTGAAACCACCACTGGTGTCTCGAGTCCAGGAGGAACGCTGAGACTGTGTGTGGGAAGGAAAGCATGCGGCTTTCTAGGAAAGAGGGTCTGCATGGGACCCATCGTCTCTGCGGAGTTTATTTTTCACGGGACAAATCTAAGCATCTCAAGTGTATACAGACCTGAAGGAGGGGGGTGAGGGAAGGATGGCACTGGATTTCCTGAAAACACTTTGGAATAGCGTGGGTCAATTACATAGCAAACACCTTCAAGGTTTAAACTCTAATTTAAACATTTAATTCTTCAGAATTAATACACACAGATGCGATTAAGGGGTGGGGGAGGCGGACGGCCTCCATTGGGATCAGGGTTTTGACAGTGTTACTTACAACTTATATTACATCCATTTTACTTACTGGTCTAGGCAGCCAGAGCATGGAGAGATATACAGCGCGGAATAAACACATTCATCCCGGGCAAGGAATGCTGGCAGGAGACACCGCTTTTCAACATTAAAAATGTATAAAGTATTTAGCAAAAGTTACAGAAAACAGACCAAACAAGCGAGTTTATTTTGTTAGAAAATTCCACGTTCTTGGGGTTTGCTGATGTGCTCGGGTTGCAAGGGGATGCCACTGGACATCTCGTTCCCCGGGGAAGGGGAGGGACATGAGAATCGGACCCTCACCCAGGTTGGCTGGTGTCCCTTGGAATGTTGGTGCCTGGGTCCAAGAACCTGTCTGCTGAGGAGGCTGTAGGGGGAGACATGAGCACATGGAAGTTCTGACAGGGTATGACCTCAGGGTGCGGGTCAGACTGGGAAGCACGGCAGAGCCAGGCCCAGCTCTCTCTATCTGTCCCAGTGTCACCCCGTGACTCTCTCTGGCCCTTCACGCTCTACCACTGAAGTCCTGATGGGAGCTCCCCTCAGAAACAAAGGGACCTCATTTCCAATATCACCCAGGAAGCATCTAAAGGCCATCCCCACTCCCCCAGCCCAAGCCTCCATAGTTCAGTCCCTAAGAGCCACCACCCAGCACTAGAAGGTTAGGACAGTGGAGACTTGATCTTGAGCCCCTGTTGGAGCCTGTCCCCTGAGGAGCAGGTCCCTCACCTCAGGAACTTTCCAGCAGAAACGATTAACCAGCAATTGAGGGCTTGGACGAGTCCCTTCCTCCGGGGGTCTTAGCAGCTTTGCCTCTCATATGAGATCAGTGGGTTCTGATTCCCCAGCTCTGACCCTCATCTGCGTCTAGAAATGCCTCAGTTTACCTGGAGCTTCATAAGAGCCTTCTAGGATCCACCTTTCATTCGGAAGTACCTCACTAAGACAGCTTGGAGGAGTAGGCGCCAAGGGATTCCACCCACAGCCTGGCCTGATCTCAGCTGGGCTAGGTCCTGTCTCTGTCGGTTGTAAGGTGTAGGCTTGAGCTAGTCTGTGTGAGTGCTGACAAGTCAAAGCACAGCCAGACACAAAAACTCCATCAGTTGGCCATGTCTTTATAGCTAGCCATCCTAGCTCCCAGGGACAGACCCAGAAGGTACTGGTACTGACTTATAGTTTCTTTGAGGGTTTGAACTAAGTACTTCTCAGCTAGTGACATGATTGAGTTCCATTTGGGTTTACCTAGAAAAGTGTCCATCATGAGGATTCTGGCCACAGCTGTGCAGATGACACCAGGTTACACATGACCACGTGCATAGAGTGCAAATAGGCCGTGAGGGGATGGGGGAGAACACTGGATCTGAAGGCCTCAGAGAGATCCTAGGACAAGCACCCTCAGTTGTCAGGTGATATAACAGATTCAGGAAGGGCTCAAGCTGTGCCCAAGAGTCATTACTCAATAAACGCCAGGCCCTGAAGACTGAGGTGACAGCCCCCTGCAGGAGAGGATTTTCCTGCACGGAGAGATAGTCCGCTGCCACAGTGGAGGGTGACATTCTGTTGCTACCCCTTCCTGCTCTCCGTACTGACCCAAAGCTAGAATCACCAACCGAGTGAATGCAGCATCAGAACCAGCCAAGGGCACAGCTGGGGGCCTGGGGAAGGAGCCCACGGAATGTAGGAAGCAATGGGTTGGAATCAGTCAAACAAATTGGAGATCCAGGGATATGACTTCCAGGACATAAAAACCTCATTTTAAAACTAAGGGAACCCTGGGGTCCACCCATGGGATGGAATACCACTCAGCAGTGAAAGGGGACCCTCTACTGACACACACGACATCGTGGCTGACTCAGAAGGTTGTATCCGTGTCACTCCAATGACAATGGCATTGTAGGAAAAGGCAAAACTAAGGGGACAGAGCATCGATCTGGTTGCAAAGGGAACTGACATGAAGGCATGCCAGTCTTGGTTGGTTGACAAGATCATCCATGTGAAGGTTCAAAGAACTGCGTTTCTTTAAAGGGTGGATTTTACTGTATTTTAATCACACCTTGGTTACCTTGATAAGGGGGGTGGAAGGGTACTTTTTGGAGTGTGGACAACTATGGGGTGAGGGGGATCTCCACGCTAAGCCATCGGGCAGTTGACCTGCTCCCTCACTGTGTCTGTACAATGCCTTCCCTAGCTTCTTCAGACTCCTGCTTAAGTTCCTGTCAAGGCTACCCACAGCTGGGAGCAAGTCCTCCAACAAGCCAAGTCTTTTGACACCTTTTGACTTTTATGGCTTTTGTTTCCATGAAAGGACTTTGGCTTAGCCAAGAGCCTCACACACCCGTCCATTACCCCGGTAATACCCCGGTAATTGGCTGGATTTCCCAGAAGGAATAGACACAATCCCCTGTCATGAATTTGGATACTTTGTTTCAGCTATTAACCAACCATTGTGGAGATCCTCCCGAGACAGCAGGGTCTCGTGTGGAGGTAGAAAGGTGGCCCCCACAGCAGTGCCAGAGACAGCTCTGGGCTGCTGTCCACATCCTTCAAATGGCCTGTGCACTGTGGGACTGTTCAAAAGTACTAGAAAATAATGAAGGGTAACAAGTGTCTCTTCCTGGAGGTTGCCATGGCAACTAACCCATTTTTTTTTTTGAACATCATTCATTTTAGAGATTTTTTTTTTTATAAAAGAATCAGGCTTTTGCAGACAAAGCGTAAGTGCACTGGCACTCCCGAGCAAGGGCAGGTAGAAAGGGCTGTGCTGCCCACAGCCTGGACAATGGATGCTCGCTCACCCTGAACAAACCCAGCCAAAGCCTCGCAGAACCTAAGCACTGACATGTTCACAAAAGCAAGATAACAGGGCTGGGTGTAGCTAAGTGGGGGCGCACTGGCTTCGACACACGTGACTCTGGGTTGGGTCCCCAGTACCGCAAACAGAACAAGGACCCCAACGACAGCTTGAACACTCAACCTCGGAAATGCACTTTCGGTTTTCAGACGCCATCAGCATCTTAATTTCACCCACAAGGTGGCTGGACACTTGACTCATAGTTCTGGGTGTCTTTTTCTGGCACCCTCGTCCTCCAGGTTCTTGCTCTTTCTATTTGTAGTACAGGGGAAGGGACTGAAAAGCAACCAAAACTGTTTCTGAAATTGGAGCTAGGTATGAGCTGAGAGTTCGGCAGTGACGAGACTCAAGTCTTGCTGCTGGGTTAAGACCTAGTAGCGTTAATACTTTAAGATCCCAGTGCAAAGTGGGATTGTACCTTCTCTACAGAAGGGTCTAAACACACCTGTCCACTTGTGGATAGACAGTGTCCCCTTAGACACAGACTAGTTCCAGCACTCAGCACCCAGTTCCAAGCATTCGCTGAGAAAAACGAGTGTGCAAAAAGAACAGATGCAGAAAAACCAGCACACAGCCAGTATCGAAAACTCAAAAGGGCAGAGGAGAGCCAACATTATCTCAGGAAGAGGGGCGTCTACATAACACAGGTCTGAGGGCTTGTTTGGATGGCAGAGCTGTAGCCTGTCCTCAGATTGATGATACATTGCTTGTCTATAACAAAATGCTTCCTGAATGAACAATAGGAGAAAGTCTATATACGGATAGACTAAAAAGGAGGTGAGGTGGCCATGGAGAAGGAATGGCCTCAGAATAAATTGGCTCACATCAGCCAACTGGGGTTATGCTGGAGGAAGTGACAACTTTGAACCCTTTGGATAGGGGGAAGGGAACAAAGTCATGAGCCACATTGTGGTACCCCAAACCCCTATGAATGACAAGACTTGGAATTTGACCATCACTCACAAATTAGGTTGCCAAACCACAGCACCCATTTTTAATACAGAAACCAGGAAATAATATCCAAATATTGACAGCTGGTGTCATGGTTCATGCCGAGTTCTGGAATACAGAGCACAGGTTGGCGAAATGTCCTCATGATGGCCTTTATGGTTGAGATATTTCAGTAAGAAAAGTGACGATGCTTAGTTTGTTTTAATGTATTAGGCACCCTTCTAAGAAACATGAAAGGTTCTGTAGACGAGGTGCCAAAAAGGATCGAGATTAGTAAATTGTCTGTTATTAGCACGAAAGACTAAAAGATGTGGGCTGTGCTCAAAGGATTCTTCCCTTGGAGGAGACAGACAAGTCAAATATTAAGTCGCCTGTGGGAAAGATGAAGAAGGATGACCTCCCAGGGACAAGTTCCCAGCTAGAATCCGGCCCTCTGCTCACTATGTGACTTCCCAACGTTCCTTCTCCTAGTGGCAATGACCTACAGCCTCAGAGTCTGCACTGCTGTCCAACGTCAGTAAGGAGGACATCAGTTCCTACACCATCATGTACATAAACAGCTAGACCCATCAGAGAATAGCCTAGGCTGACCCTGACTGCCATCCCACAGGACCTGGTCATGTGGTCAGCAGCCTGGGAGAGCTGGGGACAAGGTTGTCATAGTGTTGAGAGGCAGTGGGCATGTTGCAGATTAGATTTTTCCGAGACCCCACCCACAAAGCCTTTGGACATGCACACAGCTATCTGAGGACTTTGGAAACATTTTCTGTTGAGTCTGGGAAGGGGTGTCAGGGTGAGAGTGGGGAGCTTCCTCCTTGAGAAAGAGGCTGAAAGGGAGGGCAGGTTGAGTCTTCTGTGGTAGACTTTACAGCTAATGTCTGATCGGAAACTGATGGGAGCCATGATCTGGGGGTGCCAACTGAGGTAGTTCTGTCCTGACCTCTCCAGAGTTGGGTTGAGAAGATACCCCCCACCCCGCCCTGTGTGGGGGATGAAAAAAATAGATACGAGCTCTCGGAATGTAATGAAAGAAAGTAGGGAGGGGTGAAAAACGTTGTGGGTGTGGGCTGTGAGCTATTCTGTGCCTCCTATCCTTGATTCCGGTCCTGACATTGTTTAGGGACAGAGACCTCCCTCTCTTCCTCTTCCTGTTGCCCTGGAAATGAGAAGTCAGCTGGAGGGACATGCCCTGGATCCCTGGGGCACAGGCATGTGATGATGGCCACCCCATTGGAACTCAGCAGGGAGATCCCAGGGCTCTAGCCTCAGTTTGTTCTCAGAGTGACAAGCACAGCGTGGGAGTTGGAGGGGAGGCTTCAATCTTCAAGATGGAGTCAGGGCTGTGAGTCCACCTTTATGGCCTGGGAATATTGGGGAGCCCCTGGCTAGGCCCTCTTTCTGGCATCACCGGCTCTTTTCCTCCTTCTCTGTGGATAGGTCAGCAGGTAATAGGGCAGATCCACCCCTTCTCCATGGGACCCCCCGCCCCTCTCCTCAGCAGAACCCCCAGGACCACACAGGCAGGTCTAGATTTCCATGTCCACTGGGCGAATATTGCCTGTTTTGTGCTCTCGGACCCAGAGCTCCCGGTCTTTGGCTGGGTCCACTTTTCGCAGCAGTTGGTCCACGGGCTCGACTGTCTGCAAGGGATACAGAGGAGGGGTCACTGTCAGAAGTGGTAGCTGGACTGGGATGTCTCCTGCCTCCCGCGCTGCTGCAGTTGGAGAGCCACCTCAGAGCAGCCCTTCTAGAAAATTCCAGGCCCTTTTAGAAGGTGGTTTGAGGGTGCAGAGCACCGTGAGAGGCGGAGCTCGCCGGCAGACCCCAGGCCTGGAGAAGAGGGCAGGCTGTCTTAAAGGGGACCTCTTCCTCCATCTGTCTTCCCTTGGGTAACAGACCTGCCTTCGGGCACTGTTTTAGAAGCTGTGTATTTGGTTTGTTTTCTAAAGCAAATTCACAAGGAGGTCAAAGGTCTTTAGTTACTTTAGCCATTGTAAAGCTGGATGAAGTACATGCCTGTGATCCTAGCACTGGGAAACTGAGGCAGGAAAAGCATACATTAAAGGCCTAGCCAGATCTAGCCTAAGTCAGGAGAAGCTGCCTCTTGTACTAGGCATGAATCATGTGAGCCTCTGGGGCAATCATGCCATGTCTGTCCTGCTAGGCTTAACGCATAGATGGGGCACTCACGCTTTGGTTAAACATGTCTGTCTCATGGCGCAGCTGTGTGTACTGACACAGATGTTGTCGGATCATCTCCACCCTCTCCACCTCTAGCCGCTCCAGCTCCTGCAGAGGAAGAAGAAAAGACCAGAGGCCTCTGAGCCCATTTTTAACTCAGGGACCGTCCCACCAGGCAGGTGTCAGACCACCAAGTATTCTATATACAAAGTCCTGGCTGTGCATCCCCAGCCCATCTGACCCTCTGGATGCTGAGGAAGAAGGAGTCATCTCTAGGGGGAAGAAGAAGGTCGTAGGAGTGTCTCTGCCAGTTCAGTATGGAATTCTGCACCTGCAGTGTCTGAATGTCCTCACTGGGACTCAAAGAGAGGTTCTACGATTGTCCCCTTGGCCCAAAGTGTCATGGAGTTAGAGGAAGAGCAGCATTCAAGGGGGAATTTGTGGTGTTTGTTCTCCAGTGGATGGGTGGAGTGCAGGAGTGTGTGGGGTGCTCTCAGTCTCTCAAGCTCTCTGGCTTCTACACACTCCTAGGGTCGAGGGACAAGGAAGACCAGGCAGGGAGCAAAGCAGGCTGGGAAATGGGGCAACTGTTATCAGAGAAGAGCAGAGAGGCTTGTTGTTGGTTTCTCGCTGGTTCCGTGACTCTAGGGGATTAGGCTGTTTTTCTGTGGGGAACTAGGTCACTGCCCAGGTGATTAACCTGGAAGGGAGGTAAAGAAGGGGGCTTAATTAGGGGATTAATGGAGGAGAGGAGAAGCAGGGCACTGACCCTGAAGGAGGCTGCTAATCTTCCTAGGTGGGCTAGCACCTGGAGAAGGTAGCTGGTTAGGGGACGGGAAGGGTGACATTGGACACTGGGATGATAGATTGGACAATGGGCATGATGTTGTCCCCTTCTCCCACTTGCTCCAAGTACCAGTCACTCACTACTGTCCTGCCCAGGCAGGTCTGGCCAACAGGAACAGATAATTGATCCTTTAAAAGGAACATATAGGATAGCATGCATGGTCTGCCACCATGGTCTTCCTTAACAGCCTCTCTAGAGCTCCCCAGTCTTCCCATTCATGAGTCAATTACCTGAAGTTCTGAGTGTGAGCATGTGTGTTTATGTATGTTTGTGTGTGTGCACGTGCATGCGCATGTGTGCATTGGGGAGAGAGTATCGGCTTTCCATTGCTTTTCTGTCTATAATAGCAGGGCCATGGTTCACTGAGATGAGGAAGTTCCTGGTGGCTCCTGATACCTCAGGGAACAGACAAAGGAGAACTGAGCAAGACCAGGCCCTTGCTGAGTTTATAGAGCAGGGAGCGCTGGAGCAGGAGCATAGATTCGTGGGTAGATATTAGATTGAGGGCTGGACTCCAATGCCGAGAGAGTTCTAGCGACCATCTCTGCTGTGACCACCACTCCGTCCTCCCATGCCCATTGTCCCCTGCCCGGGGCTGCTTGTGCATCAGCCTCTTTACAGTCTGCTCACACATCTCTGGTCACATACCAGTGTGGTGGTCACCATCTCTTCAAACCACTTGGACTGGGCCTGGTTGTAGAGGTCCACACAGCGCATGAGGTCATCTCCTGGGAAAAGCCAACAGCCACCATCAAGCCCTGTTACATGTCACCCTGTCTCCACTGTGGAAGCCCTTCTCTTCCTGTGCCCATGGGCATGCCCGTTCCTCTCCCAGAGTCTCAGTGGTCATTGCAAAGTCAGGGAATGAGGGGGGAAGAAGAGAAGGGAGAGGATGACAGCAGGGGCAAACCCCAGGGACATGTCACAGAGCACTATCTGAACTCAACTGCAGACCCCGGGAGCTCAGGCTCTCAGGAAGAGACCACATGTGACCCTGGGTGCCAAGGTACACATCTGTAATCTCAGCACTTGGCAACCTTCCATTTTATAACAGCAATCTAAACACACAACCACTACAGCTCCACGGCTAACATACTACTTTCTGTAATGACATCTGTATCTCAAACTTTTTAAAAAAAATTAGACTAGAACTATGAGGTAACCACAAAATATTAGTAAGGATGCCGGCACCAACACCCTTGCTACGCAGATCTCAGTTGGTGCACCAACGGCATCAAGTGACCCTGGGAACTGGTGACAAGTGCAGGCCGTCAGGATGTGCCCTAGACCTGCTGAAGCAGAAGCCAACTTTTCCCCAGACCTACGGTGAGGAACATGTCAGAGGAGCAGACACGGATGTGCACGGCTCTGTGTAAATGAGGCTCTGGTGAGAACGGAGCAGCATGGGCTCTGCTCATGCTGGGAGAAGCTTACGAGCCAACCCCCAGAGCCAAGTGACTCACTCTAATACATCAACAAGCGATTCTAGGAATTCTCAGGGTCGAATGCAGCCATCTGAATGGATTCAGAGTCATTCCTTTGACATAACTCTTACTCATGTGCCTTCTGGTGGGAAAGTGGAAAAAAACGAAGAGGCTTGTCCATATTAAGTCCAGACCAGCTCCGCATCCTTAGGCCCTGACCACAGATAAACCACGAGTCCTGTGCTTTGGAGAACAGCTGTGCTAAGTGCTTTCTTCATTTTGCTCCTGGCCAAAATCAATGGCTACCCCTTGGTTCAAGGAGCATTAGTCAGAGAGAAGCGTACAGATGCATCTCATTCCCTGGATTACCACCACGGTGTCCCCTGCTTCAGTGTGGGTGCAGCATGCTGCCCTATGAACACTCGCTGTGAGGCTCCTGGTGCCCTGCGTGTCCGTCCTGATTCTGAGAACACGTTTCAGGAAGATCTGCAGCACCCGAGAGTGGTGTGGGGAAGGCTGCTTCCTTTCCAAGGCAGCCCAGGAGATGGAGACTGGGCCCTTCCACAGAGAGTGGGTCCTGGAACCGGAATGCCAGGGCTGCTTTGCTCCACCAAGGAGGCTGCATGACTCTAGGTGTACCAACTAAGCAGCCCATGCCTCAGTTGCCTCACAATGAAACAGGTATGACAGTTGCAGCTTTAAAGAGTCATTGTGGCTGGGAAGCGGTGGCACATGCTCTTAGTCCCATCTCTGCCAAGTGGGAAGCAGAGGCAGTGGCTCTCTATGAGTTCAAGGCCAGCCTGGTCTACAGAGTGAGTTCTGGGACAGCCAAGGCTAAATAGAGAAGTGCTATCTCAAAAACCAAACCAAACCAAAACAAAACAACAACAACAAAAGTCATCTTGAAGAAGAGCTGATTGTGCAACATGCTTGGAATAGGGACTAGACAGACAACAAGATACTCCTCATGGCAGAGATGATGACTTGAAGTCAGAGCCCCCGCCTGCCCCCAGATCCAGACACTCTTCCTCCCAGGAGCATTGTGAGAGATGGGGGGGGGGGAGAAAAGAAACAGAAGGGAAGAAATATCAGTGCTTCCTTCCAGGTGGAGGCCTCCCCAAGTCAATCCTCCTCAAACCCAGACCTGGCAGAGAGAAGGCCACTGTACAGAGACCTCGCAGAAGAAATCAGGCAAGGATAAAAACAAAAGCAAGCAAGCAAACAAACAAAAAAACCCCAAAAACATCAAAACAAAAAAAACAAAATAACAAAACCCAAGCACAAAACTTTATTTTTTTCTTTAAAGAACAAAAGTAAAAGACAAGCGATAACCATAGGAAAATATTTGCAGCTGGGATGACCAGGAGTGACTCCCCTTAACACACACCCGACCTGTCAATCAGTCACTAAGAATGACACACAACATTCAACAAGGATTTGAGTTTCTGGGGCAGGAGGTTGGGGGAGCTATAAAAATAGTAAGTGTATTTTCAGAATGTTCAACCCTTTTATAGAGAGAATTACAAGGTAATAGTAATATATATATATAAAAAAAACATATATATATATGTATATATATTTACCAGCACACCGGTGATTTCAAGTTTGTTACTAGGCAGTGCGGACAAGAATTTGAGGAAGAGGTATTCACAGGTATTAACTGTGGAGCCCTCTCTGGAAAGCAATCTGGAAATATCTGTCAAAATGAATCAAACCTTCTGACCCAGCATCTCCATTCTGTCCATGAGGACCTGGTCTTCCATATGCAGAGAGTTACAGTCCCACTAACAAACACAGTATCTCTGGTCCTGGGCGAGCACTCAGAAACAATCTCTAAGTCCTACAGTCTATCAAAGGAACTGTGAAAGAAATTTGGATACAATCCTGGGGCCTGGGGCTGCAGCCCGGTGGCAATACTTGCCTAGTATGTGTAAGGCCTCAAGTTCTCTCATTGGCTCCACAATAAAACATAGCAATCAAAATAAAAGTGTCCGATGTGCATGAATAGATGTATAAAGAGGTTTAGCGGGGATGAGATAGGGGCTATTTCTAAGACACATTAATTGAAAAACAAGATCAAAGATAGAGTATAGCATGATCCAGTTTATATGAATTCAGAGAGTGATTTGGGGGTTATTTCTGGTGAATAACACGCTCTTAAGCACGGATGAAAATATCCTGCTGTTTCTGTATAGCTTTGTTTTGTAAGTTAATTAATTAATTTGAATATATGCTCTCCCTCTTTGGGTCCTCTCTCCATCTACAATAAACATGTCGGGAATTTATGAAAATGTTTCTGGACCCAGGATGAGTATCTAATTTTTGTCAACTTATTTCTATCCCACTTTATTTCATAGCATCTAAGGTGGCTACTTTATTCTAGAATGATGCAAATTGTAGCAGGTTCATCAGAAATCAAGAAGAAGGATATTATCTAAAGCTATCCTTGCATGGGGAAGACTCGGCATCTTTGAGAAAGTTGCCTTTATCTTCTTGCCTTGTGCAGCAGCTAATTGTGAGCACTAGGTGGCAGCAGAAACCCACTCACTGAAGCAATACGGGCAAATTCTGAAATAAGGATGCTTTTAAAACTGAATGCTGGCTTCTGTCCTCGGGGCAGGAGTTCACTTCCACAGTATAACTAACTTCCCAGGGAAGTGGAGCATCTTGGATAGACGGGTTGGAAGTTGCACTCTTCAAACAGGGACAGTGCCCTGAGCTCTTGGTGCATGGAAGAATCTATCTCTGGACCTACATCTGGACCAACCCAAAGACCATGGAAGGGACAGCATGAGCTAGACAGCCCTCACTGCAACCTTGGAGTAGCTTATCTGCTTCCTTCCTCTTTCATTGAGATTCTTGAACATGGGGCAGGAAGGAGGCACAAGGGACACTTCGAGGAATAAGATGGGAAGTGGGAAGGACCACACCACTGGAACGGGAGTCTGACCAGAAGACCTGTCCCTTCTCTCTGCGCTGGTATTGCTAGGACACTACTGGGCTCACCAGCCTGAGTGGACTTCCGCCGCGCCTTCTTGATGTCCTCCTCAGTCTTGTTGCTCAACTTGATCTCCAGCTGCTGGGTCTTCATCTCCAGGTCCTTCTGCCGCTCTGTGAGGGCTTTGCGGGCCTGTTGGGGGGGGGGTAGCCAAGCCCAGAGAAGCTGTTCATAAAGCTGCAGCAAGGTTTCAGGGTTCCACCACCCGCCTACCTATGCCCATCCTCTCTGCTCATATGAATGATGGTACCCTGGCACGGAGGAGCCAGAGGGATGATTCCTAGCTGGGTTTTTTCTTCACCTGACGTCTTCCAGCCATGTCTGCATGTGCCTTGTCAGTCCTGAATGTGTTCCCTCCAGAGCCTGTGCCTATACTGTGATTCTAAAACCACTGGCTCTGAGCTGGAGAGATGGCTCAGCAGTTAAGGACACCTGTTCTTGCAGCTGACCCAGGCATTGATTCCTAGCACCCTCTTGGTGGTTTCACCATCATCCCTTAACCATAGTTGCAGGGGATTCAATGCCCTCTTCTAACTTCCAAGGGCACCAGGCAAGCAGGTGGTGCACAAACATACGTTTGAGCAGAACACACATAAAAATAAACACATATAATTAATAAATCTAAAATAATAAAAAAAACACTGTCTCTCAAAGGTTGGTAGGGACCATAAAGGTCACCTGAGTTACCCTCTAGCAGTGCACAACAGTCTGTGGGTACTATCTCCACAGCCTCAGCCCATAGTGTGCCTGCATCATCATCCTCCTCCTCCTCATCATCATCATCATCATCACCACCACCATCATCATCCTCATCAGCACCACCACCACCATCATCCACACTCAGCCTTTGGTGGAGGTGGAGCCACGTCTTGGGTACCTGCCACGGCTTGCCACTCCTGTTCTATAGGACACTCAGGTCACTGGGGAGATGTCTATTCCTCCAGGGCTGGCCACCAGCAGCCCTGCCTCCCATAATATGGCCACCCACAGGAAGGTGATTCTTTGCACATCTGGGAGGGGAGATTAGTTCAGGGAACACCAGGAGGTGAGGCCCAGACACAGGAGCCATGTAAAGTAGCTGTGGCCCATCTGACTTGGTGCCCACGGAAACAGGGGTTGCCTTGCCTCATGTGGCCATCACAACTTCCACTTTACCCGCAGCTTCTTCTTGCTCCCACTTGCCCTTGAGAGAGTCATCCGAGTGTCCTGGGGTAGCAAGTCCTGCCTGTCATATGGAGAGGTAGGGGCTCCTTGGACTCCTCCCACCACCCTAGCATCAAGGACAAAAGTTTCTGCTGGGACACTCACAACTGGTTTCTGTCCTAGAGGTCCCCAGCAGTTCACCAGCTAGGTACCCTGGCCTCTTACCTTCTCCACTGAGGCATAGCGGCTGGCCAGCTGCTTGCGGAGGTCAGCAATGTGGTGGTCACACTTTTTCATGTCCTTCTTGAAGTTCTCGCGGAAGTTCATGAGTGGTTTCTCCACCTCGCTGTGGAGCTGTGGAGGAAGGCGGAGAGGGCGGGCTCAGTACCAAGGCATTAGCTGGGCAGGGTGGGAGAAGCCAGGCCCTGGGGCAGTGACCTGGATGGCGAGACCATGCAGAGAAGGCTAAAGAGATGGGCATCTTTATCAGCTGTTTGCACTGCCCCTTTAGCTCCCAGGATTTTCCAGTCCTCCCATTTAGCTCACTGCTGCCTTTTCTTGACTCTATGGAAGCTTCTTCTCTTTCCGAAGTTTCATCTTTAACACTGGGTGGCTTGAAATAAGTAGGTCGTGCAGTGACGAAGTCACACAAAGGAACCCTCGCATGGGTACCCTCACCTGTGTTTCATGATATGTAGCTGTCCAGTATAGCTTTGTTGGCGTGTCCTCTTCCCTTGCCCTTTTCAAACTGGGACCCTTTGGGGGCTAGACCGTGCCACCTGCCTGTGCCTGCTGTGCGAGATAACTGGCAAGGCTGCCCATGACTCAGGTGGTCCGAGGTCATTTCTATTTGTTGCCCATCTACTGCAGGCCTGGGGTACAAAGATGACCCGGGCCTGCTCAGACCTCCAGGAACCTGTGACAGGGGCTGTCAGGAGGCCCTTCGGGAACTCACAAGGACAACTGTCCTGGGCGGAACTAAAGGGAGCAGGCGCACTTCCTGTCCCCACCCTGATCAACTGTCCTCGTGTTCCTTCTGAGGACCCGAGAAAGAGTCCTCTGCAGTGAGAACCGGTGGCATCTAGTTTTAAATCACCCTCCCCTTCCCCACCACACATAACACTCTCTTGAGATTTCTTTTAAGATACTTGTTTTGATGGTAAGCATGGCATGTTTATTTTTGCAAGAATGAGGATCTGCTCAGACAAGAGGGCAGCCTAGTACTCTCCCATATTCTATACCCAACCAGGAGCTTGCCAGCCCTGCCCAGACTCAGCCCTCTGTAACTCCACCACACCAGTCCCTTGGGGACCCTCAACGTGACCCACATGTCCCATCAGTGTCTGTGGCTAGCCAGCGCTGTCTCCTAAACAGATGACTCCCAGTTCTGAGGCTCTGTAGCCTTTCTTCTCTCCTTTGGCTTAGTTTGTTGTGACACGGTCTTTTTTTCCAGAGATCACCCAAGACCTGAGGGTTCTTATCTTAACCCCCAGTGTCATAAGCTGTGAGTTGCGCCCCCTAATGGGGACATAAAACGGAAAGTGGGACTTCCACAAACTTAGAGACAGTGCAAGGTTTGTGAACATGCAACGACCAAAAGTTAATTCAAATTCAAAAGTGCGATGAACCTAAGCTGTCCACGTCACGTGACTTCATAGCAGCCTTGCTCTAAAAATGCATAGCACTTTGCAATGCACATGCCCCTCACGTCACACAACACCAACAAACATGGCCTAAAACGAACAGGCCTAAGACATCTCAGCTGAAATTCAAGGCTGTTGCTATGAACTGCAGTGTGTTTACCCCATACACCAAGTTCTGGGGATTTGAACTCAGGTCCTCACAATTGTGCATTATTGAGGGCTTTACTCGTTGAGCTATTTCTCCAGACCATATATTAAGGACTTCTTAAAACCAACGGTTTTCTTTAAAAAAAAAAAAAACCACAATGATTTGGTGTCTTAAGATTCATTCTTAGCTCTGAAGGCTCTGCTTCAAGCATGGCACCAGTGATCTCTCTCTCAAAGGTGTTTCTGGGGATGTGTGGCCAGTCTGCTAGATGGGCTGGGCTACTGGAGCTGATTAGTGGGGGGGAGGGGCATGGCTGCCCCAATCCCTTCTTTTCACTTCAAACATCCGAAGAGAAGAATTCCAAGCTGGAAGAGCCTTCAGCAACTGTCTGGTCCAGGCATTTCCAAGTGGTGACTGACTAGTTTTGTGACATCAACTCTGTGGGTCAGTACCAGGTTTCTTGACATAATAAGACCCAACTTGGGGAGCAAAATATCAGGGTACCATTTTAGGCAGAATAAACTTAGGGTGTCATGAAGCATCTGTTTTGGCTACATACATGTGCCTCATTGAGTGGGGATGGGGGTGGGTACGCACATACGCTCTGTGAACACGTGAAATGCCTCCCGTGGTCACAGCCAGGGAAGATTAAAGCCACAGACGGGGTTGGAAGTCTTCATTTCACACATGTAGAAAGTCACCCGCCCATGCTCGCCACGCTTGTTCATGGCAGTGCTGGGCTCACGTTCAGCCTCCGGAGCGCAGATCTGCCTGTGCGCATGCCCCTACTGCATGGCCAGGTCTCCTTCCATCAGGAGGAACGTGTCTATTCTCCCCGCTTTCACGGGGGCCAGGTCTAACTGTCTTCCAATAGAGCGAGCTCATTTCTTGAGATTGCTGTTGCTATTAGCACTGGCTTGAGCTAGGAGACTGGCGAAGCCGGAGAGCTTGCCGTACGCAATCCCATTTCTTAAAAGGCTTTTTACCCTCGACAGTGAACATTCGGATGGAGAAGAATTTCAATAAACCTTTCGGAGCTGACATCAAATAGGGTCTGTGCCTCGGGAACCATATTCTTCAAGGCTGACAAATCAATCCTCAGAGTCCCCTTCCTCTTAAGAAAGGAGGCTACTGGGGTAGCCGGGAGTCACCAACACACCCAGGCCAGAAGCAGCAGAATGGCGTAAAGTTTGTGCCTCGTGTTTGCAGCCCCCTCTCTATGAGCCATCCTTAGTTTTGGGGTCTGTGAGCTTGTGAACCTTGCTTAAAATGGCCTGAGCATTTGGGAACTCAACCTGCACTGCACCACTGGCTTTCCCTGCAAGGGCAGGAGCTCCCTTGGGCTAGGGTTTCTCCTGTGTGTAATGCCGGAGATTGAACCCATTCGCTTCTTGTTGGTGGCCTCCGCCCCCACCTCCTGTGGGGGAAAAGAGCACTGTTGGGGGCTGGGACAAGAGAAGGGAGGCCTTGGAGGGAAGCTACTCATGAACCATGGCTTAAAATAACCCACCACTTCATCTGCAGCTCTGAAGGCAGCAATTCAGGGAGCTCCCTCCTCACGGAGGGAGGGGCTCCCATAGCAATGTTCTGGGGAAGGGCTTGGCTGTATACAGTGAGTGTGCTCTTATGAGCTGGGAAATTTCACTCACGTGGGTATATCAGGTCCATCTCAGGCACTCACCCCCTTCAGAAGCCAGGAGCCAGAAGCAGTGCCGTCCCCTGGAAGGCTTTCCCACGGTCTCAGCCATTCCCCCTTCTGTGTACATTGTACACGATAGATGGAGGGCTGGGTAGAGTGACATGTTCCTGCCCTTCAAGAGTGCACATGGCACGGGACCCTAATGCAGGGAACTGACAAATGGGAACAGCATTGCAAAGAGCAGGCTAGCTAGCAGCAACTGTGGAAGCCGCTGGAAGGAACAGTGTCTTGGAGAATACTACCTTAGAATGACAAAGTCGGAACTTAAACATGGAGGCTCTGGGTGTTCAAACACTTGAACAGATAGTACCTGGGGCTGTGGTGGTTGATGGGTGGTAGCAGGAAATCAGAGGGAAGAGAGGGTCAGTCAAGATGGTAGGTGTCATTCCCATCTTTTCCTTTCTTTCTTGTTTTTTTTTTATTTGTTTGTTTTTTGTTTTTTCGAGACAGGGTTTCTCTGTAGCTTTGGAGCCTGTCCTGGAACTAGCTCTTGTAGACCAGGCTGGCCTCAAACTCACAGAGATCTGCCTGCCTCTGCCTCCCATGTGCCTGCTAGTGGGCAGGCCTGTCAGTCACACAGGCTTTAGTGTGAATTCTCACTGAGGCATTCAGGTGACCTCTCACGGAGAAGGAGCCAAGAGTCTGAGAGGAAATGTGGAGAGATACGCCAGGAAGAAGAGACAACGTCCACTTGGAAACGGGAAGAAATCCTGAGGCAGAACAGAGCTGAAAGCCTGGGGGCGGGAGGAGATGACCAGCAAGCCCTGCGCAGTGGTTCTCAACCTTCCTAAGGCTGTGACCCTTTTTATCCAGTTCCTCATGCTGTGGTGACCCCCACCATGAAACTACTCTCGTTGCTGCTTCACGTGTGTAATTTTGGGGCTGTTATGAATTGTGATGTAAACATCTGTGATTTCTGGTGGTCTTAGCGACTCCTGTCAAAGGGTCATTGGAACCCCAAAGGGCTCACAACCCCCACTGTTGCTCTGTTTCCTCATTTCTTCTGAGGTAGCTATTAAGCGTCTCCTACAGGTGTTCAGTGCTGACCGCAGTGACGTGACAAGGACAGACTCATGCCTGAACTCGGAAAGTCCTGGTCCTAGTGTCTTTGGGATCAGATGGATCAGTAGGGGACATTCAGAAATTCTGCAGCAACAAATTGGTTTTTAAAAATCTTCCCTTGGACATAGCCTAGCATTACAGGCACAGAGCAGACCACCATCTCAATCCATTCCTATGAAACCAACAAAGAGAGGCTGGGGTTCACTGAGTGAACCAGGAGGCATCCACTCTTATCATACAGACCCTGAGATCCTGCCTTCCAGGGCTCCTGAGAGCTCGCTGTAAGCTGCTTGTTAAATTAGCCATGACTAAAAAAGAAATTGAATGAGCTCATATTATAGTAACTATTAATTATCACAAACTTAGACTTACATGTGAAAAGGGGATCCTTTCCCAAAACCCACACCATGCTTTTATCTGTGCTCTTGGTGCCCACTTCTGGTCATTTCTGCTGCTGTCTGTTCAATGGAGACAGTGTCTACAGGTGAGCTAAGGGTATCTTCTGCAAACTCTGTATTTAGGGATTTGGTGCCATGGAAATTGGCAAGCAATATAAGCTACAGAGAGTTGGTAACCAGTTATCAGCATGCTTTGGTCTAACTATGGAAGGAGAGGAGGGTTACCTTGGCGGAGAACTTGAGATGAACTTCAGCCTCATCTGCCAGGCTCTTCTTCACTTGGGCCCATGCCTCTCCCAGGGATCTGCAACAGGAAGGGGTTTGTTAGATTGCAAGATGTGGGGCAGCAAGGACTCTGGTCCAAAGCTGGTCCTAAGAAGGGAAGGTAGTTCTAGGCTACATATATCGTGGAGGTATAGAACATTCAAAATTGTGGGCTTGAATAATGAGACTAGACTCAGTCACCAAGGCCAAGGTAAACCAGCCTTGTTTCTGGATCTAAGACAGCAGGAAATATCTCAGTAGCAGGAGAAATAACTGGAACCCAGAGGCACTCAAGGATTTGGGGGAGGTGTGAGAGGGTGGGGGTCTTTCAATAGCTTGTGCTGCAGCGGGCCATCACTGTCCCCAGTACCCTTTGACTCCCTCCACACCCTGGTTTGCTGCCAAGGGGACAAATATATGCTAGTAACTAAAGGAAGAAAACCACAATTGTTTCCGAAGGCCCTTCCTTTGCAGCCAGCCCATAGGTCTCAGTCACTTGGCCTCCAGGAGAGGCACAGATGGTCCACTTGGGTCCGGGGACATCACAGGTGCAGCCACACACTGGGAAGATTCTCCCAGCCATCTGCAGAGGCATGGCTTCTCTTTAGCAGATTCTGAACTGTGCACCCCACTGGGGCTCACAGTGCACACTCTAAACTGTACCATCCCTCTGTTCCAAAGAGATGCTCCAAATAGAAGGCATCTCCCAAAATCCTGGAGACTTCTGAAGGCCCCAAGATTCAGAATTTATTATCTGGACCCTTCAGCCCCAAGGCCATTTTAAGGCCGACTCCTTCTCCAGACTTTTCATGCAGCCAGCAAAAGCCGCTTGTCTGGGGAATTTGTTAAATGTTGATGGCAAAAGCTGACCAGAAGACAGCCCGCTGGGGCAGATCACTGGAGATGGCAGCAGCTAGTAGCAGATTTGTCCTAGGGATCCAGTTCCCTACCTGGCTGGTGGCAGCGCTAGTCTGGCCTTGGTGAGTGTGCATGAGAAACCATCCATTGATCTCCAGAGAGTTTGGAAGAAGGAAGAGTGGTTTGGGGGTCCCATTAGAGAAAGACTAGGTGGGTCTGGGCTGACCATACTATAGGGGCCTGGAACCTGGGAACCTGTGAGGAGAATGCACAGTCCTGAAGACCTGCATGGACTGGGCTCCCCTACCTCACTCCACAGTGGAACTGTCATGGCAGCTATATGAGTCAGGGGTGAGCAGAAGGTATCCCCTCAAACCATGTGCAGCAGACTTCATCCATGGCACGGCAGTGTGGGGACTCTTGGGGCCATAACAAAATGCTCGGGGGCCCTAGGCTGGCCGTCTTCCGTGCAGTTGACATGTGGTGGCTTCTGTCACATGCGAGGGCAGTGTGTAGGCACTCTGTAGGTGCTAGCCCTTGATCTTGGACCTCCCAGTCTTTAGAACCATAACCAATCTCTTTTCTGCATACATTATCCGCTTACAGTGACACAGAAGGCTCTCAGACACAGCCACACGGAAAGGGCAGGCTTGTGAGCCGCAGGAGCATAGCTCTGTAGTTCACTAGGGAAAGGAACCTGGGGCTTCCAACATATCAGGGGAGGGCTCCACCACCGAGCTCCATCCCTAGTCCTTAGGCAGCTGTTAGGAGATGATGTGGTGACAACTGGATGTCACATGGCAAGAAGGAACCTTGACTATTACTTCCTGCCACTCCCATGGGATCTCAACACTGATCCTAACTTCCTACTGACAGCCAAGAAGCCATCGCCATCACGTGCAAGGGTGCTGTCCTAGGAGCTGTGTGATATCCAGAGGGTCCTGGAAGTACAGGAGTCTGCAAAGGCCCTGGGAGAGGTTGAGCCTCTTCCAACAGGGCGGCAAGCCTGCTGCCAGGAGAGCACATGGGGTGACTGGCTAGGGTCAGGCATGGTGACCTGAGAATGTTAGTTCAAGGATATTGGGGGCAAAGTGGCACTATTCCCATCCTGGACAATGCTTTCAGCCCTACCTGCAGGACTGGCATGACCCAGGCAGAAAAGTGTCATCCCTACTTTTCAGATGGGCTCAGCCCATGTCCTATGTCCTCCTCTCCTCAGTATTCCAAAGTACTTCAAATGTACGGAACTACTGCAATCGGCCCTGTCAATATGTCTAAACGAATATATGTTAATTAAAAATAAAATTTAAATGTTTGGGAAAAAGCTATTCGAAATCCTCATTTGAAGATGGCATCCGATGAGAGAGAGATAAATAAAAACTGCCAGCTGAACCTGGATCTCAATGTGTAGTCTGGGGCATGCCAAACCACGGCACAGGCTCTTGGCAGAACTCCAGCCAAGAACGACCAACATTCCTTGGCCTTTCCACACACGAGACGGTTGAAGGCAGAATGAGAAACCCAAGGCTGCTGCTTAGCCAGTGTGCACATGTCTTGTGACATCGAAACTGGACAGCGCACCTAAGTTGCCAGATAGCTCAAGTGTCCCCTACCTGCCCTTGGGTTTCTGAGCTCTCGAATCCCTGCCCATCCTTCAAAGTGCACCAGGGCCAAATGTCTAGAGCTGTGTTGTGGGTGCAAGATACAGCAGCGCTGTACTGTGTGCCTGCCAGTGGGGCAGTTATGGGCCTGACCCTAGCCAGTCACCCCATGTGCTCTCCTGGCAGCAGGCTTGCCGCCCTGTTGGAAGAGGCTCAACCTCTCCCAGGGCCCTTGCAGACACACACACACACACACACACACACACACACACACACGTGCGGCAGGGATAGCTGTACCTGAGCTTGTGTGGTTGATTGTACTCGTGTGTGTGGCTCTGGCGTGAGGAGCAGGCTGCTTAGCTTAGGAGCATATGCTGTGTGCTGGCAGGACAAAATGTCCCTGGCAGGAGCCCAAGCCGAGGGGGTGGAAGCGGGAAGGCTCCAGAGCCATAAAGTGATGCCAAGCGCAGGGACCCACAGGAAACTGCTTTCTCTGGTGGCAGGGCTACTTCCCATGCACTTCCTGCCTTGTCCCAGGCTGAGGAGGCAGTAGGTGAGGCCAGGAGCCAGCTAACCACGTTCCTGTCTTGAGAGGGACACGGACCCTACTGGGTCATCCTGCGGCTGACTGGGAGGAGATGGCCTGGTTTTAGTCAGCCCCGAGGAGCCCTAATCAAAGCCATATTCAACTGGCAAAAGTCTCCATCCTAGGCAGACTCCAGCCACGAGGCAGATTATGGCCTGTTCACCATCAGAGCTCCCTGCGGACCCCGCCTTCTTTCTTAGGTTCACCTCTGGAGGGTGGTGGGACAACAGAGGCAGCATTTGAGGACCCTTTTGGTGCTAACTTCCCAGGAGCCTCGAACATTTTTCTTTTGAGGTGAAAACCAACTGTGACGAAATTTTCCAATTTAAGGCGAACAATGGAAAAGTGTCTACAACATCCACACTGGAGAATGGCCTACTCTTGATGGCTCCAAACCCTTCATTCCCCGTCAGAAAGAAAATTTTGTCATTCCTCCCTCCCCTTAGCCTCCTGTCATATCTTGAAACCCTGATGGGGATAGGAGGACAGGGTAGCAATTAAGATTAGAAGGCAAAGCCCTGATTCAATAGGATTATTGATCTTGTAAGACCCACTTCCCGATCCCAACCTACACAGCGGATGGAATGTAAGCCCACAGTGATTTTTCAGCCACCTGTGAGCCCAGGGAAAGCCCATGCCAGACACCGACCCTACTGGAACCTCGATACTGAACTCCCAGTCTCTGGAACAGAGACAAAATAGAAGCCTTTTCTGTTCTTTTTCTTGACAGAGATCTTACTATGTAGCCCAGGTCGGCCTTAAAATCATGATCTTCCCATCTCTGCCTTCTGAGTGCTGGGATTGTGGATGTGTAAACCTCCACGCACAGGCATGTTCTTACAGTTTAAGCAACTCAGGCTGTGGAATTTTGTTAGAGCAGCCTCAGCACACACATACCCTGAATGGAAAGACATACCTACCATAAGTCTCACTCCTCACGTCCCTCTTCATCACTAGCCACTGAGCTTTGCCTCTGTGGCCTTGCTTATTCTGGACACTACATATGAACAGGATGACAGACTCTGTGACCCACGGTGGGTGGCATCTTTTACTCTGCATCACGTTTTTGAGGTTCACACGTAAGGTGGCGAGTCTCGGTATTCTATTCCTTTTTATGGGCAAATACTGTCCCACTGTGCATCCATGAGTATCCATTGTGAGCACCCCGTGATTTGCATACCTGTTCACCTCCTGATGGAATTTGAGCCATTTCTACCTTTTAGTCTCTGTGAACAGTACTACTTTGAGCATGTTTGTTTGAGTCCTTGGTTTTGACTCATTTGGGTTTAAACCTCAGAAGGGGTGGCAACATATACCACTTCTCTGATTCTCTCTTGAGGAAGGCCACGCTATTTTGCACAGGAGGGATAACCTGGGGGTATGAATACTTGGACTTCAGGTCATGGGTGCCCACTTTGAGTCAGGAGCACCAGTATTTTTGTTTGTTTATCTGAGATAGGGTCTAGATATGTAGCACAGGTTGTCCCAAAATTCTTAATCCCCCTTCCTCAGTCACCAGAGTGCTGAAATTAGAGGCTAAAACACTTAATTATGAGTACTGTCTTAACCCACGAGTCTGAACCCTGAGCTGTGAAAACCCACCTTGAGCCATGGGTATCCATCTTGAGTTACCGGTCCCTGTCTAAGGCATGAGTGCCTATCTCGAGTCATGAGGCTCTACCTTCGACTATGAATGATTCAAAGGCACCCACCCCACAGTGAGCCAGACAGGCCTACAGCAATTGCTCCATCCCAAGTGGGCAGCATTGCTGATAAGTGAGTGAGGATCCCTTTCTCTGTGTCCCTTCATCCTCCCCAGTCCCGCCACTCTCCTCCCAACTCACCCTTCCTCCTGGGCAGCCAGGGAGTTCTGAGAGAGCTTAGCCAGGTTCTTTGCATACTCCTCTTCAATCTTTATCCTGCAAAGAGAGAAACCCCAGTGTATCTGCTCCGCAGTGTAGACCATGAGTTGGACTCACCACACCCTGCCGTGCCTCAGTCTTGTAGAGACCCTCTAACGTGTCAGTTCCTGAGCCTGTAGCGCTTGCTGTTCTGTTTACACAGGGAGAACCCACAGTGGCAAGTACCCAATAAAGGACTGGTTCAGACTCTGCTTCCCACCGCTGGCAGACGTCATCTGCACCACTCCAAGCACAAGGTGGGACATGAGAGCCTTCCAGGAACATGAGACGCTTGGGACAGACTCCCAGGGATGCCCAGGATGTACCCAGCCCTTCCATCCTAGTTCCAGGTTCACACACTCCCAGATGGCCTCAGCCCACAGAAGCAAGAAGAGAACATCTTCCTCCACTTTCCCACCCACAATGCCTTCGATTGCAAAGCATTGCTAAGGGTGCAAGTGTTTCCATGGAAACCAGGTAAGGTCCAGAGCTGCAATCCCATTGGATTTCCCCAGAGGGGAAAACCTTCCATACACCTCCAAGGCAACTCTCTCGGGCACATTTTGTACAGCAAGGCATATCCATGTTACGTGGGCTGTCAACAGCACGTTCATGTCTTAAGAGGCTCTTGGGGCCAGGGTGGGAGGTGGAGGATAAACCAGAAGTGTTCTGAGGGCAGGGTCCTAGACACTCCTTCCAGCCTTCACTCAGTGAATAGAGGAGTCCCGGGACATGGAATTGCAGCATGTGCTTCTCCCCTCCTAGGGTGCTGAGATCCAAAGGATGCAGGGACCCAAACAGAGTGACTATTTGGACCCGCTAAAGCCTCTGCACACCTTCTCATCCCTCACTTCTGGCTGGAGCCTGTCCGAAAGTTCCTGAGTTTCTCGCTAACCCATCTCTGTCCTACCTTTGTCTCCAGCCCCAATTATGCAGACCTCTACTCTGCAGCAACTTCATACTGGGGCCAAGATCTCCAGAAAGCAGATTTCATCATGCCACAAGGCCGAGTGCACATGCCAGGAGAGGGAGGTGCACACGCCATCTGCCTCCTGGGCCTCTGCTGCGAGCCGTCTGTGTTATCTCCACCTCCTTGCCCACTTCCCTCAGCCCAGCAAAGATGCAAGTCCCAACCCCACAGCCTGATTTTCCTGCCTCGGATGGCTTCCCCGAGAGCTCCAAAGGCGGGCTGAGAAAGGTTCCAGGGATTTGAATTCCCTCCGCTGGTTCCCCGAGACCTCAGTGGCCAGAGATGACAGAAACCATTCATTTGCCAATAGGACATTGTTATGAGTGAAAACCATATGCACACTGAGGCTTCAGCTCCTATTGCTTCCTATTTGTCTGCTTTATGCTTCTGTTTTCTTGCATCCGAACAAAGCAGCCTTCCAATTTCCTACTAGTTTAATGGGTCATAACATAAAGATTTGATTATACAAATGGAAAATAGGCCTCCTAAGGAAAAAAAGGGCTTTAAAAATGCCAAAGCATTATTACCCAATTACTAGTGTTATAATGAAGAAATACTTTGAAAAGTTCTTTTGCTATTTGCAATGAATATTTCCAGCAAGTCTTGGAAACACTAGCTGGAAAGTTGAGCATATGTTTGTGAAAAAAAAGTGTGTTGATGGGGGTGTGTAGGCACACAGGTGTGTGAGTATACAGATGTAGAGGTGTGTAAGTATGTAAGTGTGTGGTGTGTAAATGTACAGATGTGTGTGTGTGATGTGGGTATGCAATCAAACAAACGTATAGATGTGCAGACATGTATGAAGGCATGGATGCACAGGTATGTGGGTGTGCAGGTATAGGTGCACAAGGGTGTAGGTATGCAAAAGCATGCCTGTGCAAGTGTCTGTACATGAAAGTGTGTGAGTGTGCAGGTACACGGATGTGTAGCTATCTGTGCACAGGGATATGGGTATGCATATACTTGGGTGTGTAGGTGTGATGTGTGGGTACCCAGGGTGTATGAACATACAGGTGTGTGGGCATGCAAATATGCTGGTACACAGGTATGCAGTCACATGGGAGTACATGGGGATGTGGGTGTGTAGGCACACAGGTATACAGGGATAGGGTAAGATGTAGGGGTGTATGGGAGTACAGGTGCCCAGATGTATAGTTGTATGGGGATCTGATGCATGGCTATGTAGGTACACAGATATTTCTGTGTTGGGGCATGTAGAGGCCAGAATGTGTGGGTGTGTGGATGTGTATGTGTACAGGCGTGAGGGTGTACAGGTGCATTTGTGCATGAGTGATGTGGGATTCCCCTCTGTATGCTGTGAATATCATTAGTTAAAAAAGCAGAGCTATAGGGAAACAGAGCTAGGTGGAGAAAACTAAACTGAATGCTGGGAGAAAGAGATGGAGTCAGGAGAAGCCATGTAGCCCTGCCAGAGATGGATGCTGGAACTTTAGCCAGGAAGCCACAGCCACATGGTGATACACAGATTAATAGAAATTGGTTAAATTAATATGTAAGAGTTAGCCAATAAGAAGCTAGAGCTAATGGGCCAACTAGTGATTTAATTAATACAGTTTCTGTGTGATTATTTCAGGGCTAAGTGGCCAGGAACAAACAAGAGGCCCCTCCTTCTACACATGGATCTGTATGTTATGCAGGAATATGAACAAGAGAGACAGAGAGGAGAAAGATGGAGAGGGGACTTCTCTGCAGCTCTTCCTATTTTCCACGAGCTGAATTGATAGGATCTTCATCTATGATCCAAGTTCTTCAGACACGGAGCTATTAGAATCCCTAGAGGCAAGGGTGAGATGGGAGGGCAGTTCTATATCCCTTGGCCTGGGAAATGTTTTAGTTAAAAAATGGCCTGGAAGGACAGGAGTGGAGCAGGTGGATCTCTGAGTCTGAGGCCAGCCTGGTCCATAGAGTGAGTTCCAAGTCAGTCAGGGCTACACAGTGAGACTTTGTCTCAAGAGAAAAAGAAGACCTGGAAGGTAAGGGACAGCTTCAAATGAGGGTAAAGAATGGAGCGGCAAGTCAGGGGATGGTGGGGAGGAGCGGAGGCTGTGGCAAACAGGACCTGTGCTCCTTCCGTGGACAGCAGCTACTCAACTCAAGCCAGTTGTTGCATAGGGGCTGTGCAGGCATCAAGAGATACCAAGCATCCAGGATTCAATGCGATGTGTGTGTGTGCACATGCATGTATCTCAATACATATATCATGTAGCTCAGATAAGCCATATTATACAACTGAGGATGACTTTGAACTCCTGACTTCCTTCTTTCAATTCTTTAGATATTGGTTCAAATCTTTAGAAACACTATCCATGTCTACACCACATATCTGCTGGCCACATCTGTCCCAGGACTAAGCATGACCAGCTATCCACTCCCCTGGGGTTCAGGGTTCAGAGTGGGCCTGGTGGTGGCCAGCTCCAGGGCTACACGGGCATTGGTCTCACCTTTCCCGGATGAACTCAGACATTTCTTTCTGCATCTGCTTGCCTTTCAGTTGCTTCTGCAGCAGCAGTTCAAACCCAGCCACCGTGCCATTGCCTTGTGGGTCCTTCTTATCCGCCTAGGAAGAAACAAAAGCCCAGTCATCTGGGAGCAGGCTGCATTCTGCATTTCTAGGATCCCTTGCAGATCATTGCCAGGGAGCCACTGCAGCTTGCAGAAACCCTTCTCACCGGGAAGAGGTTCATGGGCCTCTTCTCTGTCCTGACCATAGTGACACTCTTTCTTCAGCAACACGGACACAAGACATACCACTAACACCTTTCCTTACAGGGAAATTACGACCATGCCCGCCTGAGGCTTCTCTATCCCCACCCTGCCCGCCTGAGGCCTCTCTATCTCTACCATGCCTGCCCGAGGCTTCTCTATGGATGCTTAAGGTGTGCTCACTTCATGCTGTGGATGCTACATCTTGATAGAATGGCAAGGAAGTCACCCCAATAACTAAGCCCAACCCTGCTTCCCTCGGGGGTAAACAGGCTGAACGACTCTTCATTGGCTCTAAGAAAAACCTACAAGAACAGTGTGCTCCAAAGACTGTGCCATCGGGGAGATGTTTCTACTAAGAGGAAAAGGCTTTGACAGAAAAGGAAAACCACCGAGGGACCAGGAGCCAGAGTTCAGGTTAAGGTGAGAACTCTTAGCTAAGCATGGCGGTGTAGGCCTGTGATCCCAGCCCCTGGGAAACAGATGCACAGGGTGACCAGGCGGTCTTAACATAACCCAAACTAGCAAAAGAAGGACATCCCCAGGATGCCAGTGAACAACAGGCAGGACCACATGCTATGCCCACGACTTTCTTGTCTCCCCTCTAGGACATGCCCTGGTCCCTAGAGCCCTAAGGATGATGTCCACACACATGACAGCCACTCTTTATTTCCGCAGCTGTCACCCATTCTTCCTGGTCCACTCACTCGCCTCTCACCCTCCAATCCCATCTGCAACAGGCACAGCACAGGTTACACCCAAGTCTTTCTCAAAACTCCTTCAGTACCTCCCTACTACAGACAGCAAAGACACGTCTTCCTTCAGGCCTCCAGAATCTTCCCGTCTCCTTACTGCATACACGTCATCCCCCACTGCCCCCAAAGCTCCCAGTTCCTCTGCAGACCTCTATCTTACAAGCAGGACAGCTTGAGTAGCAGAACCGCTCTACAGGGGCAAGCGGAAGCTTTGTGTGCTTCCTACTAAGGGGTGCAGGATTTGGGAGAAAGAAAAAAACACTTTGGGCTAGTATTTAGCAGATATAAAAAGAGGGCAGATAATCCATTCTGTGCCACACTGAGAAGAGGTTTTATTTATTGATTGTTCCTTGGGGTCTTCCCGAAAGTGCCTTGTAGAGGTTTAGTCGTTTTCCATAGACGGCCGAGGTGCCGTGAACCCTCACCACTATGACTGCAGAAGGGCCAGTGTCCCTGCAACTTCAAAACGCAAGTGCTCTGGGCTAGCTCTGGCATCCTTGATGTACGGGACTGTGCATACACGTTAAGACATCATTTTAACGGTGGGAAAATATACATAATGTGATACTTATTGTTGTTGTCATCATTTGTAAGTGCATGTACACTTTAGTGACACTAAGAGTATAGAGACTGAGGTGGTGACATTCTGCCATCCATCATCAATAGAAACTTCTCATCTTGCAACAGACAACTCTGTACCCACTAAGCAATACACAAGAACTTCAGAGCCGCGGGTGCTGAAAGAGACAGTTTATACATCCCCATCTGCACCCGACTTCCTCATGACTCAGTTGGGAAAAGCAACATGCCAAGAGGCAGATCATGTCCCCAAGGCCACTCACAGTGGTGTTGAGCAGGCCTGAAGCTCAGATTTCTTTATTAAAAGTAATTCTAGTCTCCTGCCTCCATCCAGCCCTGGAGGGAGCTGTCTTTCAGCTTTCTGGCATTCTGGCTGTGGTTTCCATGTTACAGGGCAGGAAAACCACACAGATTTCCTGGGACAGCCAGAATGATCCAGAATCCAGCAAAAGTCCCATCTGAAATGCCAAACTGGACACCACACTTTGCAGCTTCAACAAGCAAAGGCCCCTTCCGCCCTTCCCAGGTGAATGCTGCTGTTGGGGTCACAGTGGAGGGAAACTGAGGCAGGACTCACCCAGAAGTAGTCACAATAGCTCCACTCAGTCGGCTTGAGCAGCTGTTGTTCAGGCATTGTGTCTGGGTGAGGGAATGTCACACAGTTTATCTGCAGAGAAAGAGAATGCTGTCACTGCTGGATCAGGTGGCCAGAGCACAAAAGGACATCTCCCCGGGGCCACTTTGGTGGAATGTACTCAGCAATTTTCCCCTGCGCCAGCAGTCAGTGGGTACTTTCTATAGGAGGCAACCGGCCCCCACACCCATCCTAGAGGCTACGAAGAGGGAAAGCTCTCTGGTGAGAATTTAATCGGATCTATCACAATTGTAAATGCCCAGATCTTGCGACCCAGCCACCGTGCTTCTGAGAGACGGTGTTACAGATGTAACTGCCTATGTGTGCAGGGATGTATGTGCCTGGTATCTACCATACACTGGCTATGCCGTCAAAGGCTGGACCAGAACCACACTGTCCAATGGTGGGGGGAATTCGTAAGGAAAGTCTGAGAGGAGTCAGGAGTGGTGGTACCATTTTCAACCCTAGCACCCAGGAAGGAGAGGCAGAAGGCTAGCGACCTTATAAGACACAGTGCCATGTGCAATGAATGCATGCGTGAAAAACAAATCAGTGCTACAGCAATAGAGTTCGCCCACACTGATGAGGAACGGTACCCGGATGCGCTGCTAAGGGGTGAGTGCGTCTGAGTGCACAGCAGTACACAGATGACGTATAGAATGGTTTTAGTATCACAGTGTGCTCCATTTGTACGAAGAAGTGGGGTAATATTTGTGTGTTTGGTATGTCCTGTGTGGGATCATTCTGGAAGCCAGAAGTTAAATCTGAATTTGCTTCTAAGAAGAGCCAAGGATAGGGTTGATGTAGAAGCGCCTGGGGGCCGGGGGTAAGAGGTTATACTGAGATGCTTGTGGTATGAACATTCACAGTTTAAACATATAATCCAGGGTGCAGGCTTGGGGCTGGCCCTTAGGATGGAGAGTGTGGTGTGGAAGTTTCTGGGCGCTTAAAGCTATTGTTTCTCCCAGCTGTGTTTGTGATCCTCCTTAGCTGCCTCGGCTTTGTTGGAGTGGCTTGCTCCCTCTTTGTGGTAATGTCTTGTCCCCCTTTGTGGGAGTGTCTTGTCCCATTTTGTGGGAGTGGTCTACCCCCTTTGTGGGAGTAGCTTGTACACCCCTTTGTGGAAGTGGCTTTGCTGCTTTTCTGATGGGGTTGCAATTCCCCAGCCTCACACCAAGGCATCTTCCTCCAACCTCACCTCACAGACCAGTCATCTGCCACAGTGGGGAGTTCTGGTGCTGAATGGATAAGCCAACCAGGAACCCGCAGGGGGTGGCAGATTGTCTTCAAGCTCTGACCTAGGAGGGTCATGCAGACAGCCAGGTGCCCCTGTGACACAGAATCTACAACCAGGACAGGAGGGAAACAGCCTGTGCCTTGGGCAGGGGCTACAGGCTGTGGACACATATCACATGGGCAGATTCAGATTCCTACTCCACGCCACCAGACTATGAGCTGATGATTCCAGGTTAGCCGAAGATCGGGGCTGGTACGTCAATTGTCTCAAGCTTTCAGTGATGGCAATTGTTTGAGTTTAAAACTAAAAACAAAAACAAAACACTATGGCCAACCAGCAAACTCCCATGTCAGTTGAATCAGACCCTGGGACCTCTGAATTAAGGGCGGGAGAGCCTGTGGTAGTCAGTGCATTGCCCTGCCAGCCTGCCAGCTGTCAGGAGCAGCAGCTGCCCTCACAAGCCTGGGTGAGGAGACCCGGAAGTGCTGTCCAGAAGGAAAAGGACATTGACATTGGTAAGATAAGGCAGGGGCTCCTTTGGGAAGAAGCATGATGACATGGTGACATGGTAGGAAGGGGGCCAGGAATGTCACAGTGCCTTGGAGTTCAACAGCACTGAATTCTGCCCCAGTTGGTTCAGTGTGAAGAAGTTCTGGCCTGCAGCTGTTGGCGGGGGCGGAGGGCAGAGGGTAGAGCAGGCATCATCTCATGTCCAGCCTCAGGCAACGGTCTATTCAAGTTCTTGATCTAGGCTGAAGTCCCTCCCCGCTGTGAGGTGTCCTGATCTGAGTATTCTTTAGGGGCCTTGCCAGCCTCCAACTGAGTGGGTGCTGCTTGGGGCCAGCATGAAAACAGGGTATGGAGGTTAAGCCATAATGGTGATGACGGTCACCTTTATTTTGCTTCGTGAAAGCCTCAATGTATAAATATAATGATATAAGACTTCTAACAAAATGCCCTATAATTCGTGATCCTAGAGAAGCTAAATAAGAAGGAGAACCCAAAGAAAAACATATAGGCATCCTCCTGAATATTAACCTTCATCAGGCGATGAAAGGAGACAGAGACAGAGACCCACATTGGAGCACCGGACTGAAACCCCAAGGTCCAAATCAGGAGCAGAAGGAGAGAGAGCACGAGCAAGGAACTCAGGACCGCGAGGGGTGCACCCACACACTGAGACAATGGGGATGTTCTATCGGGAACTCAACAAGGCCAGCTGGACTGGGTCTGAAAAAGCATGGGATAAAACCGGACTCGCTGAACATAGCGGACAATAAGGACTGCTGAAAACTCAAGAACAATGGCACTGGGTTTTGATCCTACTGCACGTACTGGCTTTGTGGGAGCCTAGGCTGTTTGGATGCTCACCTTACTAGACCTGGAAGGAGGTGGGAGGTCCTTGGACTCCCCACAGGGCAGGGATCCCTGACTGCTTTTTGGGCTGATGGGACAGGGGGAGTTGATTGGGGGAGGGGGAGGGAAATGGGAGGCGGTGGCAGGGAGGAGACAGAAGTCATAAATAAATAAATAAAGACTTCTAACAGTAAAGTAATCAGGAGCTAAGAATCACAGAACCAGGGCTGGAGAAAAAGTGGGTAGGAGCGCTTGCTGTGCGTGCATGAGGATCTGCGTTCAAACTCCTGCAACTCCAGTGACAAGTTAGGCATGACCGCATGAGGCTCAGAGACAGGAGGATTGCTGGGAACTTGCTGGCTGCCAGGCTGGCTCCAGGTTTAGCAAGAGACTATCTCAAGGAAATTTAGGCAGAGAGTGATAGAGAAAGACACACTTTCCTCTGGTCTCCACATGCACGTGAGCAGGTACACATGAGTATGCACATGCAACCATGCACACACAAACACATCCATGCAAATAAATACATAATCACAGAATCCACAGATTTAAGGCACAATTACCCCTCAGTATCTGGGGGGTAGAGGGGTGGGCACCGTTTTCAGGCCTCACATGGATGGCAAAATTTATAGATGCCAAGCTCCCTTATGTAAAATGGCACCGTATTTGCATATAACAAACACAGACCCCCCTGCATTCCATAGTCTTATAATACTTAATAATTTGAGCTGAATAGTTGTTCTACCATATTGAATGGGGAGTAATATCAAGGATAAAGGTTGTACAATTGAGTACAGACACAGTTTTCAACCTGTGGCTAGGGGATTCTCAGCTGGCTGAATTCACAGATGGGCACCTGAGGCTAGGGGCTGTGGTACTCAAAGTAGGCAGCACTGATTTCTAAGGAACCTTATGATTTTCCCCGACCCTCTTCATCAGTCTTCATCCAAACTGCTCTTGGCCTTGGCCACAAAGGAAGAAGTTTATCACAAGTGGCTTGGCCAATGGTGGGTCAGGGCAAGCAGAAAATGGGTCTTGTTTAGCCATGCCTACCATCCTCCCTGAGAGGACCCACATTCAGAGAAAGGATGGTACTATCTACCCCAGGATGCCCATGAAGAGAAGACAGACTCTGTTAGTCCAAAGCGGAGAGAGTAACAGGAATCCCCTCCAATGGCAATCCTCAGCTGGCTCCAAGGCACAGAAGGTCTATAGGATAGCTGGGATTTGATTATGTTCCATTTGACCCCTCTGTTGTCCTGGAACCATGGTGTAATGTGTCTCAGAGACACCTGGACCAGCCATGGAAGGATGGGGCCTGTGCGGGAGTGAAGGTGGGAGAAGCTGGAGACTCATGATACTTCTGCCACTCTGGGGCTATTAGTTCTTGGATGCCCTGGTCAGGAGCCCTGGGGTGCCTGTCGCTGCCTGTCACTTCTGGTTCCTGTTACCCAATGGGACTTCCCTGAATCCTCAGTGCTCTTCTCCCCCTGGTGGTCAGGTAGAGAAGTTCACAACACTGAGGAAATCAGATCACAGAAGTGTTCAAATCCAGGTCAGGCTGGTAGTAGAGCTGAATGTTTACCGGATAGCTCTTCCATGGCATGAACCATGTCGGGTTTTATCTGCTATGCCACGTCTCCCCAGCACTCTGCGCACATACGTCTTTGATGTACTCCTGATGGCTTTTTTCTTCTGACAGCTTGCCCTTGAGGGCAGGTGAAGGGATGGAGACCATCCTATCCTAAGGTTTTCCTAGGTCCTGCACGTCAGGCAAACAGCGGGTATTCAACAAAACATTATTGCAATGACTAGGAAACAGGTCTGAGGTACAGCGTATGTTCTCAAGAGCCTGATAGTTAAGGGGTGATTATTCTTGGTATCCGCCTCTCATTAGGGCAGGCATGGGATGCTGAGGCCACAAGAATGGCTGGGGCTGCTGGAATGATTCTTAGATGAAGTGGTACTTGAAGAGGATCTAGGCAAGCACGCTGATAGAGGAAAGGGTATTTCAGGTAGGAGGGGGGCTGGAGCCTTTATGAGTGTGTATCTATGTGTATTTGTGCACACATGTGTGTTATGAGTATATGAGTGCTTGAGTGTGTGTGTGTGTTCACACACATGTATGCTGAGTTTGGCTCAGAAGCAAGAAGGACTCCAGCAGATGTGTCCAGATGTCTGTGTTGAAGACAGTTAGCCACCAAGGGTCTAGTGTGAACATGAAATGGACAGGACGGTGCTCTCTGAGTGAGTTCCCAGCCCCATATGATGGAGGCTGCAGTTTGGAGAGGTGAAAGGATATAACTGTGGTCCCAGGGCAGGAAAGGCTCAGGACTGCCCTTGACCACAAATGCCAACAGTGCCCAGGCGAGAAGGTGAGGTACCTGGCCTGGCTGACGGTGTTGGGTTATAAGGAGAAAGATGAGAGGATTCCGAAGAGCAGGAGGCTTCAGCGGTAGAGGGTGTTGTAAGTGTGGAGCAATGAAGCAACCAGAGCCAAAATGTCCACCTGCAACAGTGGCGCAAACACGCACAGGGGAGGAGCCGAGGCACAGAGTCTGACAGGCCACTGTCACGCAGATAGAGGGGCACAGGAGAGTGCCACTCAAGTACCCTCTCAAGTACCAGTCCATCATTCTCTTGCTGCCCCTCTGTGACGCTCAGGCCTCACAGGGACACAGGTTCTTGTGTCCCTGAACCACAGGCTCCATTAGCACGGCCACAATACTCCAGGAAAGAAGAGAAAGCCAGACATGTCTTTCTCTATGAATATCTCCGTGGGCCAGTTCTTTTCCCCTCCTGGAGATCACCAGGCAGGAGCTAGGAATGTTCGGCTGCACCCTCAGGAAAGGCGTGCCTCCTCCAATAGCCTGCTAGGACAGTGGGAGCCTCGGTTCCTCCTGTTGCTGCACAGGAGACAGCCCAGGGATTTACTTTATGCTCAGTGAGTGCTAATCATGTCCGGAGTCTCGCCATGTGTGGACTCATACAGTCCTCATAACAGCCATTCAAGGCACCCACCGAAGCACAGAGAGGTTAAGTCACTTAAGCCAGATCCCAGAGTTTGAATGCAGTAGTAAAGTCATGGCCTGAATCCAGACTAGGATTGTAGGTGCAGACTAGCGTCTGAATCCCGTCAACACATGACTTGTCTAACTCACTGGGGCAAAGTGTAGCAAGGCCCTGCTCATGCCAAAGATAGTTGTTGAGCAGGAAACAGAGGAGGGGTGTGCCTGTCAATGTGTGTGTATGTGGTGTGGCCACTTCTACTGTCTCCTCTGGGGATCCCCAGTCTTCAGCACAGCCACATGGAGAAACACCGCTGCCCACCCCCATGGATGAAACACTTCCTATTGCAGGGGCTGTTTGACTGGGGCACACTGCAGATCAAGAGAATTGCTCCAAGACATTCACTGAAGGCATCAAGGAGGCGGCAGCAGTCGGTCAGGCATCTGACTGGTCCACCAGGGATGCAGAACACATGTGTGACCCACCTGAGGGGCTGACACGGGAGACCAGGGCACCTGCTCTCATTGTAGGGCAGTACAGTCTGTGTCCAGGGCGGGGTGATAGTCTCCTTCCAGTCTTCAGGGCTAAGGTTACAGAGTTTGGTAACCCAGGCTGCAGCTAACGACGCTGTGTGACCCTGACCCAGGAGAGTGAGAAGACTGGAAAGGATCCCATGGGCTTCCTTCCAGCCACTAGCTCCCTCCCAAGATGCCATGCTTCATTACGCTGGGCATCCAAGTGGAGGACCACAGGGCCCTCTAGTTCCTCCTTCCAGGAGACTGTGCCTCGGGCCTTCTCTGCCATTATTGTTCAAACCCTCTATATCTTGATGTGTCAAGTTTATGCTGAGGGCAGTGAGCGGCCATTAATACCTGTCACTCCCAATCAAACAGTGCCCCGACCCCACCTGCCAACCTAATACAGCAGGAACGAGACTCAGGCATGGCTGCCAAACCTGTCACTGCTGCCAGGGGGGCCATGCGCCTGCTCTTCTAAACTAGCTCCGGGCCACTGAACTTCAAATCCAGCTCAGTCCCTGCTCCTTGACTGAGGACATGCATCCTGCCCTGGCAGGGCCTGTCAGTGGCAGCCTCCCAGGTCAGACGGCATGGAAACTGCTCACCACATTCCTGTATTCCCCCAGAACAGGAAGCTGGTGTCTCAGCCTTCTAGGTACAGGGCCGTCCCATCCTGTGAAGAAGTGCTGAGCTCTACGGGGCTTGCACATGGAGCTAGCGGGCTGGGTGCGGAGACAGTGTACCACATGAGAGAAATAATGACTCAGGTCTTCAGTCTGAAGTGATAAAGGGTTGGGGTTTCCAAGGGGTACATGGGCAAGCAGCCAGGTTGGCAGTAGAGAGACCTGGATGTGATCGAGTCCTGGGTTGTTTTTTTTTTTTTCTCCCTCGCTGTGTGACCTGTGGCCACTCCCTCTTTTGCTCAGTTTTCCCAGCAACAGTTCTCCAGGGTGTAAGCATTCACATCAACCCTCTCCAGTGTCGACAGAAATGCAGTTTTTGGTCCTTGCCCCCAGAGAGACCATCTACAGATGTTTTTCAGAAATCCACACCTTAAACAGTGTCTCAGGACCTTGGTACCAGCTGCAAGCTGCAGGCTATCTCGGCCAGAGGGAAGGAGCAGGCAGGAGTGACAAGCAGCAAAGTCGGGCCATATTCAGAAGCTCTGACTGGCAAGCACCCAGCAGGGGCCTGACTGACTGGGCTCCATCACCATGTGCCTTTAAGACAAGAGCCAGTGCAACACGGGCCCGTCTCTTTTCACTTCAGTGTTTGTTTCTAGAATGTGAAAATATGTCTCCCTCTTATTTTCTCTTATTCCTTTCTCCCCGTTTCTATTGGCTCTGAGGAGTTCTCCTCTTGCTTCAGCATTTTGGAACATTTAGTAGCAATGTGAAGATAGGGACCATGCCCTCCAAAGTCTGAACCTAGGTCGACCTATGCCCTACCAGGTTCCTCTAGACTCTCTAGAAAGAGAAGCTGTGGCTGCTACAGGGTTGCAGCAAGCTGAGCCGCCCTGCCCAGTTTCCAGGAGACTCCGAAGGGTCAAGGCAGGGTGATGGCCTGAGGGACCTACGCCAGCTCAGGAGGGGCACTGCCAGTGGGCACGAGCTGAGTTTTTGAATCTTGAATCTTCCTAGCTAGGTGACTTGGGCATGGTGCCACACTGTGCCTCAGTTTCCTCATCTGTGTACAGTGTGATGGCCACGCTAATGCATATCAGGCACGGGGTGCGTGCCCGACTCTGTTCTAGGTGCTTACAATTATGGACCAAGTCACCCCACTCCCCCACTGCTGAAGCCCTCACTTCCCTGCTTTGTAGAAACAGGCACCAGCAGAGGCTGGGAAACTAGCTCGAACTCACAGCTTTGTGAGTGAGGTAAGTGACACTCTGGCTTCAGAGTCCAGGTGTATAATCCCCCTGGAGTCTATTTTGTTAACCACAGCTCACACATCAGGCAGCAAACCCTAGGAGCAGTCCTGGTGTACCAAGTGGGCACCAAGTTGACGACAGGTTATTAGATTGCTTGCTATTACTGTTTGTCTGACTCTCTCTTCCTCGCACAGCAGAATGGCCCGATGCACCCACTCAGGTTTTTATCTTTGCAGAGGTAGTCAGGGCAGTTCAGAGCAGGGTGACAAGGAGCCCAAGGTCATAAGTCGTGCCAGGAACTCGTGCCAGGATAGCGAATCTGCACAGACCTCACTTCTCAGCTCTCTGGGTTGTTGGCTAAGAACCTAGGCAGCTCCCTCCTTAGAGGCTAGGATAGAGATGTCCTGACCCCAGTGCATCACGGGGTTGTGAGGGAGGAGTTGGGCCCATGCTCCATCCCCACAGAGGTATCTGGCTAGCACTGGGGAGGATCCCTGAGAGTTTGGACAGGAACTTCTCATCAGGGACTCCCAGAAATGCTATTTCTAGGGAGCTTTTTCTTGCTTTTAACTTTGACATCTTCCAGAAGTTTCCCTGCACAAAAGCAGCCCTGCGGTGGCTGTAATTTCCATGTCACATTTCTGCACACAGCACACTCCACCTCCTTCAACTCGCTCCCCCACAAGCACCTTCTCCTGCCCACCACACAGAAACAGCTTCTGTCTCCTTACAGCCTCCTGCCTTCCACCCCTTCACCGGGGGAGAGCAAGCAAAAGGGGAAATTGACAGAGGGAGGGGATGGGGGTAACTTCAGCTAAACCTAAGCTTTGGCTGCAACTTCTCTATTTCCTAGTGAGCATCGATTCTGGGTTTGGCGGTCCACGTTGCCACGGCAACAGCCCAATTGTGGCCCAAAGCCCCAGCTCTGGAGCCCTCCCCCCACCAACAGTCAAGCCACTTACTGTGATGGTGTTTTCCTTGCTCTGTTTCTTGCTCGGCGACGAGGACCCCAGGTTCTGGTGAGAGAGGTGAGACCCATCATCAAAGCTGTTCTCCATGTTGGACATTTTTTTCCCCATTCCCGTTCGTTCCCCAGGTGGGTGGAGGGATTGGTTAAGAACCCTGAGCTGGGGAAGTTCAGGGGTGTCAGCCTGCGGTTAACTCCTGAGTCACCATATTCTGGGCCAGGGCAGGCAAGTGCATCTCAGAGTCCAAGCTGCTCCAGAGTGCTCAGGCTCCAGGCAAAGTAGAAGGAAGGCTGAGTTCAGGCTCCCAGGGAACCTCAGCAAACCAGGTCTCCCCTCCTCTCCTTTCCAGCTGGGATTTGGGGGAGTTAACCCCTCCGCTGCCCTCTGCTGGTAACCAGACCACGGTGCCAAAGCAGGGGAGTGGAATGGCAGGGGAACAGAGAGTTAAGACAGATTGTAGGCCACTCCACCACCCACCCCACAGGGGCACAGGAGACTCAGCACATGACATCTCATTCTGAACCCTCCCGAGTCCGTAATAGCAAATGGTGAATGAGCGTGGAATGAGCACAGGGCGCTGCTCAGTCGCTTTGGCAACGTGCCACTGTGCCAGCGCCTGGGAGTCACGGCAGTTTCTCGCAAGCAGAGTACCCTCCTGGAGTGACTTTTCATACTGTCCCCATTGTCAGCAAGAAAACTGGAGTCTTGGTTGCCTCTGCACCCACAGGTGATGCCCAGAGTCCCACTATTGTGTTAGTGGAGATGGCCAAGAATGGCCAGCTAAAAAAAAAAAAAAAGCACCACATTTAACACAGGACAACGCTCAGTCCTGAGACTTTAGCAGTTACGCTCAGGATTCCACTCCACGGCTTCCCCAGACAGAATCCTGAGATGCCACTTGTCTTGGGTCCCACAATGCCCCTGGAAACAGCTCCCTCAAGGCAACCATGGGTGACCACTCTGTGTATGATCTGGGGCTGGCATGAGTCCAAAAGTATGAAGGGCTTTACCAGTGCATCTCAGGGAAACCAGATGATTCTACTCATACTCAAGCCCTGGACCCTGGCTATGTGGACACTGTGGGGAGGGGGTGGGGCTGTTTCTGCCTCAGGAAGCCATCAGCAAGCCAGGCCAACTGGAGCTCACCACAGACCCTTCCGATGGACAGCCTTACTGTCTTGCTTGGGCCAATAAAGAGCCTGTTTGGAGAAAACTGACATCCTTAGAGGTCTTGGTGGAAAGCAACCTTAAGGAGCATCCTTTCATGGATGACTAACTTTGAGATGAAGGCCATGGAACTGACTTTCTAGAACCTCTGGGTTTCCATCTGCAAAATGGGCCATCACCACCGGTCTCACACCGCTCTAGCCAGCTTCCACCCTGAGCAGCTGGAACCCTCACTGGAGGCACACTGATCTGACCAACTTTAATTTCTTTATCCAGGCACCTGTGCTTGCGGCAGCTCCTCTGCCACCCTGACAGGCTATGGTGATGTCTGTATAGCTTCTGTATCTATTTTTTAAAGAATCGTCATATCCGCCTGGTCTGGCCTGCATCCTTCCAAGCTACTATTTCTCCTCCAGGACATTCACGAAAGTGCCCCTGGCAGAAGACAAGCAGAGGATGCCCAACAGGAGCCCTGGGTACCAGTCATAAAGAAAAGGCAGGGACAAGATCTCTCCATGGGTCATCTCCACAGCCACATTGGTCAAGCCCATACCTGCCAAAAAAGGAGTCCTGCCCCAGGACTCGATTCTCTTCTTAGCAAGTCTCCCTGTCAGGGACCAACATGACTCTGCCACCATCCTTGGGTGCCTACTGCAGTCCAGGATTGGTCATGGGCAGCCAGGGGTCAGTGGCCTTGGCCATAGCCAGAATATGACTGCTGTTGTTACTTGGAGGTGCAAGAAACTAAGAGGCAAGAAAGCCTACAAGAGTCACCCTCTAGTGGTGGCTTTTGTTATTCCCCACTGAGGGGAATGCAGGTTCCTAGAAACACAGGAACAACAAATACAAGAGAATTCAAATAATGATGAGGAGATAACAAAGGGGCAAAGGAGCCGGTCTAAAGATGACCCCCAAAGGCCACAGTGGGGTACCACCTGAGCTCAGTAGGAAGAATAATGACCTCAGTGGGTTTACTCCCCAGTGGGCAGAAGGAACATGACATTCCAGAAGACCCACAAAAAAACGTACGTAGAGTTCATTGCTCAGAAATCCCAGGGTCGAAGGGGTTGAGGCTGTGATTGTCACGGCCTAAAATCAGAGAAGACTGTCAGGCGGCAGGACAGTTACACGGTGTCAGGCGGCAGGACAGTTACACGGTGTCGTACTAGTGCCCCACAGGTTACTGACCAATCAGAAAGGGAAATGGATGAAATAAATCCAGAAGTTATTTCAGCGACCTGGAGCCTCCCCAGCAGGGCACAGGCCTGGGAGTGTGTGTCCCCAGAGATGCCACAGGCAGCAGGCAGCTCACCCCACACAGAGCTCCTGTCAAACCCCAAGCTGGGCCTAAGGAGGAGAAAGCCAGCCGATTAAGAATGTAGGTCGGCCTACAAGACAATGACTCGGAGTCTTCTTCGCAACATAGACTAGAAGTCAGTGTGAGGACAGGCCAAAGAAAAGCCCTGGGATATCAGCCTAGACAAAGAGATTGAAGCAAGCGAGATGACAAAACTGGCCGTATCATGGCAGACTATTCAGCCCGTAGGAATAAAAGTTGAGCACACTCAACACAGACATCAAACACGTTCTGGGAAAAAGCGATCAGCCTCTGAAGACCACATACAGCTGACCTTCCTGAAGATAAAACACCATAAAAAGACAGCCTGGAGGCAGAAAGTAGGCTAGTAACAGCCCGTTCTTGGGGGAGGCTTGGGAGTAATGTTAATTCTCTACGACTCATTGCGATAAGGGATGTGCGATTATGAGTCTGTTAAAAACAATGAATTGCCTGGTTGGCACACTCCCTCGGTCCCTCCCTCCCCTCTCCCTATTTTTCTTTCACAAGACCAGGAATTGATCTCTCCTTTGTAACCTACTGAGCTGTAGCCCCAGATTGTATTTTAAATGATGGAACTACACAATAATAATAATTAGTTGTGTCTCAACAAAGCTGTGTTTGAGAGCGAGGTAAATGGACCGACAGACAAACAAAGATAGAGAGACAGACGCTAAGGAGACAAAGTAACCAACATTTTCACGTCAAACACTTACTTGGATCCTGGACTGGGGAGAAAAGCAGGTGTAAATGGCATTTTAGAAATTACTGGAGAATTCGACTATGGAGTCTCTATGGTAATGTTATCAGACCGGTGTTTTCTTGGAGTGGTAATGGTACTTTGATATCTTTCCCCCTTGATTTACAATTAGAAATACTCGCATTTAGAGTAGTGGTTCTCAAACTGTGGGTCGTGACCAGTGACATGGTAGGTCCATGGGACTTTGTTATGGAAGGCCCTCAACTTTCATAAATTTACAGATCCCTACAGTACATACTTTCACATTCCGCCCTTTGCCTATGATTCCAAAGAGTCATCCTTTTTGCAGGATTTTTTATTTAAACCAGAGACTTGGTGATCCTCCTGATTTGTGCATTCCTTGCCTGATTCTCCTCCACTTTAGTTAAATGCCACTTCCACATGCTGGTATCCTGACTGTCCCCGAGCAACTCTGTTGTCACCAAGAACACACATTACTTGCTAAGCCGCGAGTGACATCATGAAGGGCCAACAGCCCCTCTCCCAAGTGTCTTGTACCATCCTCTCCCCAAGGATCTCCTGGATCCTGTGCCTCTGGCAGGGATTTCCTATAGGAAAACCCTCTTCATTTCCAGCATTGTTAGCATAAACCTGGGCTCCTTGGGACAGGCCATGCAGACCTCTCCAGCCCCATCTTCTGCCCTCCTATGCCCACCAACTTAATAAGTCATACCATGACCCATACTTGGCCTCTATGGGCTCTTTGAAAGCTTCACCCTCCTTCCTGCCTCTAGCCATCTACACATTGTCCCCCTCTGTCTGGAACATTCCCTATCCCCATCTTTTTGTCAAGCAACCCTTTTTGCTGCCTTCCCCTCTTTAGTCTGGCATCTTTTCCTAAGAAGCCCGTTATTACTGCCTTCAGCATCCCTAGCTTGGCTTCTCAGTGTGCACACTTCCTCCTGCCCTTACTGCTGATGAGATTAAACAACTCTTGACCCATTGTCCTCCCACAGCTAGGGTGGAGCCTTGCTGGACCTCAGAGCCTAGCAAAGGCCTAAATGTGCAAGGGGGCATGCATGACTGAAGTAAAGGCCTGGGGAAGGGCTGCAGAGATGCCAAAACTCGGCACTTTCTCCAATTAAACTGCCTTCTTCAACACATGCCCTGAGTCCTGAGTCCCTCCTCTTTTTCTTTGTCTCTTCTGGGGTAGTCATGAAGCCAGAATAGTGGAAAGATGGATTACAAAAAGGCTCAGGTAAAAGTGTGCCGGAAAAGAACATACAAGCTAGGAGAGGTTGGCAAGGTTATGAGCCTTTGACCCCTGGGCTCTCTCCCAACCAGGAAGGTGTTTATTTTATCCAGGACCCAACAGGCAGCACCCTTGATGACTGCAGTACTGAAGCTGTCCACTGGGCGGCACCAGACCACAACCACCTGTGCCCATCCACCCAGGTCTCGCAAGACTGGGCAGAACCCTCAGGAGCTCTTGGGCACCCTGCCATGGATACTATTTATGACACAGAATGGTAGGGACATCAGATGCTCCTGCCCCTCCCTGCTACCATTCTTTCCCATTCACCTGCTTAAAGAGAGAGAAGCCAGCAGGTACTTTGCAAATCACAGGCTTGGTCACTGTGACCCCAAATCCTGCCTCTCAAATTGTCAAGTAGCTCTTCGTTCAATCATCTTTCAATTACTGTCCACATGCATGCACATTCCAGAGACTGAACCCTGGGCCTTGGAGACACTAGAGAAGACTCTACCACTGACCCATGCCCCCAGCACTTGGTTATTATCAAGAGCAATTGAGAGTTGTGATTGACAGACTGGGATGGAGAGTAAACCCCCTGAGTATTGAAGAATGCTGTGTATGCTTAAATATCTGCTGGGCCCTGCTGTCTTTAAGGGAGATGCTCTCAACCTATTGATAGTTAGCCTTTAGAGCTCTTTGGATAATTAGCTCCAGAGGTGCACACACGGATTAAACAGTAGCAGCTTCCCTATCCAAATGCTGTCTTTTCATTGCTGGAAAGAATACTAGAGGATCTACTGTACAATTCTGGGATGCAGGAAGTAGATGCAGATTTATCCTTTCTATGTATACTACATTGTTTATTTTTGTTTCTTTGGTGAAGCTTTAACTTCAGGGTTATTATCCAAAAAGAATATTCTGCTAACCTGCCTATGTAGAATAGTCACTGTGTACCAGGCCTAGGCCTTGGAGCTGGCCTTCCCTGGGAACCCAGCAACACACACCCTCAGCAACTCTGTGTACACACACACACACACACACACACACACACACACACACATGTGAGCATACATGGGTGAGGCAGAGGCCAATCCCAATCACTCTAGACTTTGTTTTCTGAGACAGGGCCTGTCATCACCCTAGAGTTCACCAACTACACTAGGCAGGCTGGCCGGTGAACCCCATCAATCCTCCCATCTCTGCTTCCTTGGATTACAAGATCCCCACCATGGCCTGTCTTTTCTCTGCGTTCTGGGGACTGGACTGAGGTCTTCAGGCTGTGTAAGAAGCTCTTCACCGTCTGAGCTCTCTCTCCAGCAGCCAAATTTTACTCTCTTAACCAAAAGAGTGTTTCTGCCTTTTATAGAAGTGAAATGTGTTGATCTTAGGAAACTTGAAGAAAGGAGAAACAAAATAAAAATTACTCGTGTCCTCTGGTCAAGCTTTTGCAACCTCAACGCAACTCGTATATTCAAGCTAGTAACGCCTTGCTGAAGATAACGCCTTGCTGAGGAGGCTGCCCTGTCCACTGTAAAGTGAGTGACATCCCTTGCATCTACTCAATGAATTCATTGACTCTGCAGTGGTAACGATCAAAATCAGAGATGTCACCAAATGTCCCCAATGGAGAAACTTGGACTGAGATGTAGTTAGGCAATCATGGACTCTCTGGTCTTCCTTCCTCTCAGAAGCTCAGTTTTCCTTCTCCTAAATAGGGTTGTATCCCCTTATGCACACACATTTATACACATGCACACACACATTTGCGCGCACACACATTTGCACACAAACACATTTGCACACACACAATGCATGCACACATTTGCGCACATACATATACATATACACACATGCCCACATACATGTGCACACACATTTGCACACATGAACACGCACATATGTGCACACACATGCATACATGAATACAGGATCTCCTGGAGGTAAGAAGAGGGTGCCATCCCTTGGAGCTAGACTCGAGTAACTCCAGTTGCTAGAGTTACAGACTGTGGAGAGCTGCCTGTCATGGGTGCTTGGACTTGAACCCAGGCCCTCTGGAAGAACAGGACACTTGGTCACCAAGGCCATCTCTCCAGTCCCTTCCACTTGATTCAAGTTGGAAGAGTTTCTCGAGTCATCACATTTTCTTCAGAGGATGCTCTTTATTGACTGGGTAATGTCACTGACGGGCTAATGTCCAGCACTGGAGGCCATTCTGCCTGTCCCCTGCCGTTGGACAGTTAGATCGGGTCCAGTGTTCCAGGGGTATAAATAATGCTTGTATGAATGGCCTTCCATAGAAATCAGAATACATGTAAGTCTCTGAGTACATTCCAAGAACAGATACAGGAGGAGAAATTCCTCTGTTCAAGACCTACAGCACACTGTTAAATCAGCTTCCAGATCCTAAGCTGCCCTAGAAGCAAGCAAGTATTAAATGGTTGAGTTTCCCAGTACGTGTGGAGGTCGGGGAGTCACATCTCCTTGGGGAAGGAAGAATGGGGAGCTGTTTCCAGTAACCTTCCTGATGCTGCTGGGGTAGCAACATGGTTCAATCATGGTTAGCTGCAGCAGAGCAGGCTCCTGTCTTCAGAAACACTCTCAAGTCAGATGACAAGTCATCTTCCCTTCCAACACACTCATTGGCTCATGGAGAGGGTGGCTCAACAGGACACACAGCGTCAGGGTTGATTCACGACAAGTGAGATAAGCAGGGATTTGATGGTGTCAGGCTCAGCCCTGTGCACTGTTAACTAAACCTCAATCCCCACTAGCCAGACATGGTCTCCAGTAGCGGCACCACTCTTGGCGTCTGGGAAAGCACACCCTGCTCACCTCAGATCGTACACAAGAGTCAAGAGACTTGAAAGGCCTGCCTAAGACTGGGCCTTGAGTTCTCTACCACAGTTTACTGATCCAGGGCTCAATGTTCAGCTCCGAGAGGACAGCTTACTAAGTTTCCAAACACAACACCCTTGGCTGCACTGAAGCTGGCTGTCACAGCTTAGCTGATGGCACTCACAGAGTCCAGGGTCTTTCCTTCAGTGACCACACAAAGGCCACAGCCTACACAGCTACTTTTCTCAGCAGGATTACTACCCTGGACACCAGCCATCAATACCATCACCCCTTAGGGCTGCCGCACTGATTCCCAAGAAAGCATGACAAGGATTGGAAGTTCCCTCAGGAAACTCTTAATTTGTAAGGAGACTACCTCCACCCCTACCCCCCAAGCCCCTGCTTAGATGCAGCTTCCTGCAAATAAGGAAATCATAGGATATTCTATTGGGTCCACTATGACCTCCACTCAATCTCATGAACTTGCTCCCCAGTGGTCCCAGGCTCATGGGAATGCCAATGATTCCCATCTCATGATGTCACACGTGTCGGTTCTGATGGAGACAGCAGTTTGGGAATCTTAAAACATATTTCAGCTGGGTATGGTGTGCATGCCTGCAGTGGCAGCACTTGGGAGCTGCAGGCAGGAGGATCAAAAGCTAGAGCTACATAAGGCCCTGACTCAAACGTAAAAGCACACATTATTCTTTGCCTCCTACAGCTATGCTTACGCCATGTTAGTGAGATGGTCACATTTTTCTGATGTGACTGGGGATAGGCACAGCAGAGGACTACAAGGACAATGGCCTGGCTGGCTCACACTGCTAACTTGACAGGAAATCTGGACTCACTGAATTTGTGGGTAGCAGAGTGGATCTCCCTGCCCTGACAATTATAATCCATTAGCTCCTCTTCCAAATCTCCCTCGATTTCTAGAAAACCAATGAACTGCAACCCATCCTTCATCAAGAACTGTTAGGGCAACCCTGGGCTACTTTCCACTGAGAGCAGAAGAGGGCCACAGTCCCTGACTCCCAACTACATTCTTCCTGAGCTAGACACTCAGCTGCCCCTACCTCCCTTGGCAGCACCTTACCTGGGAATCACCGGTGGATTTTCGGAGACTCATGTGGGCAGTCTCTGGAGGGTGCGCCGGGGTCCCTGATGCGTGGTATCCATTCACTGTGGGGACAGAGACACAGCTCAGATGCTGCGGGGGCCACAGACAGGCACCCTGGACTTCCGGCCACAGCAGCCCTCGCTCTCCCACCTCCTCCCAGGGTTGTGGGAGTTCTCATGTGCCAGGGCCCATCTATTGGAATCTGATCTGCAGCTAAGCAGCTAAGGGCTAAAAAAGAGTGGAATCCTGGCAGCCAGTGTCCTGAACTCTCAGGGGACGGACTTTCTTCTAAGGAGCCCAATCAGTAGAAGCCAAGGTCATCAGAGCCCAGCTGCCACCACAGGTGCTGATGAGGGGGCCTGTCTCTTCCTCCTGAATCAGGTGGCTCCCCGACCAGAGCCCTATGAGTTCTCTTCCTTCTCTTTCTTCCTGGGGGACTTTTCTACCCTCGGTCTCTGAATGCTGTCACGTACGTGTGGATGAATATTCTTTATCAAAAATGTTAATTCAGAGTTTGGACCTTCCAGGACTTGGAAATGTTACACTAGGTGTGTAGCAACCATCCAAAGAAACAAACTCTGAAACGCCCCCAGCTTGACTGGATTTAGAGTTACAGGGACGCACAGCTCTGTGCATCACTGGAGGCTGCTTCCGAGGAGGTTTAACTGAAGAAAATGAAGTCTAAGTGTGCTTAGACTGACTGAAAGTCAGGCCAGGGGTCCTGAAAAGTCTGGGGAGCAGACTGGCTTTCTTCCCCCAACCCCTCCCCCCTCTCTCCAGATGTAATGCGACCAGCTGCCCCATACTCCCTCGCCATGCCTTCCCGTTTATGATGGACTGCATTCTCCCAAATAATGAAACAAAATAAACCCTTCCTTTCTCATTTGTATGTGTGTGTATGTGCGCACACACTCAAGTATGCACTCACGGTGTGGGCTGTGTGTGTATGTGCGCACACACTCAAGTATGCACTCATGGTGCGGGCTGTGTGTGTATGTGTGCACACACTCAAGTATGCACTCTTGGTGCGGGCTGTGTGTGTGTGTATGTGTGTTTTGTTGTGTTTCCCAGGTTAACCTCTGATGTTGCTTTTCAAGATCCTTGTTATTTAGGGACAGGGTCTCTCATCAGGACCTGGGGCTCATCAGTTGGGTTAGACTGATGACCATCAAGCTCCGGAAATCTGCTTGCCTCTGCCTCCCCAGTGATGGGGTTACAGACACACATGGCCATATTGGCTTTTTTAAATGTGGATTCTAGGAATGAAACTCAGTTCCTTACACTTGTACAGCAAACATATTCCCAGTAAGCTGTCCTCCAGCCCCTTAAGTAGCTTTGCCACGTGGTTTTGTCACAGCCATGAGAAAATAATTAATACATGCTCTCACATCCAAAGCTCGAAAGTATGTTAATGTTCAAAAAATTTAGATTTGGGATTTGGGGGATAGGATGTTCAACCTGGGTAATGGAAAGAGGATGGGATGGACTAGTTGTCATGAAATTTGGCTCTTCTAATTAAAAAATGACAATCAACAACATGAATTATTGAGCCTCAGTTTTCCTAAAACAAAAGCAACAGGGCCTGATGGCTCACACCTGTCATTCCAGAGTGCAAAAGTTCAAGGCGGAAGTGAGTTCTGGACCAACCCGAGAAACTTAGCGAGATGATGTCTTGGCGGGAGTGAGTTCTGGACCAACCCGAGAAACTTAGCGAGATGATGTCTCAAGATAAAAAATAAAAAAGGCCAGGCGTGATAGCATACACCTTTAACCCCAGAGCCTGGGAAGTAGAGGTAGGGGAATCTCTGTGAATTCAAGGTTAGCCTATTCTACATAGTGAATTCTAGACCAGCCAGGGCTATATAGAAAGTTTCAGAGTTTTAAGATGACATCATGAGCGGAAAATTTTATGCCATGAAACAAGGTTTAAAATATTGTGTAAAATTATCTATGAGTTTTCTATTTATACTTGGATCCCATCCCCCAAGTGGATCATTATGTATATGTGGATATTCCCAACTAGGAAGCATGTCTGATCTGAAAGCATTTTAGCTAAGGGACGCCAAGTCTGGAATGGAGGGTGCCCAGGGTTGAACCAAACCATGGCAGTGAGTTGGCAAAGACAGTTCTAGGTAGAAACATTTTGCACTGGGGATGTAGCCCATCTTCTATTGCTGGGAGCAAACAATCCAGAGTCATTTGCAAGCAGGGCAATGCTCAATAGCCCCTGTGCAGCTTTGCCTCTCCCCAACTTGTAAGGTCAGCTCTAGACTCCTGAAGAAGTCTGGGCAGGCATGTTCACACACACACACACACACACACACACACACACACACACACACACGAGAAACTGATACATATCAGGGTTCCATCCAGCGCTTGGAGAAGAAAGTACAATAATTCTGCTTGGCCAGCTCCATAGCCATGGTCCTCACTCAGCTCTCAGATGTTTGGTCAGATGTTCATCATATTAGTAAGAAAAGCAGCCAGAGAGGAGAGTCTGGGACTCTACAAGCATCAGAGACCGAGGGAACCAGCTCAGATGGGCAAGAGGCTCTGTCAGGAAATCAGCCATAGTAGGGCACCATGTTGCCAAAGTGGGACACCAGGAAAATGTTTGCTTATCAAATAGAACAGTGTCGAAATGGAGAGAATGCAGATGCTAGAACAGGGCATGGTGGGCCACACCTGCAATCCCGGCACACACATACGAGTGCATATACACGTGCTTGTGTGTGTATGTGTGCACACGTGTGCGTGTGTGAGTGTGTGTGTGTGCTGGGAGGATTGAAGCAGGTGAACAACCTGCATAGGGAACACCATGCCTCAAAAAGAAAGGCCTGGAAGTGTAAGATGGAGGTGGAAGCCTTGGCACACGCTTGGGCTCTGGGACTGATTAATAGGCAGGCATAAAGACAAATGAGGTCTGAGCAATTTAATTTAAAGGACTGAGTGAGGGACATGTATAAAACATCCTACCCTATAAACAAAGAGGACAGCATTTGCCAAGAAAGCCATGGGACTTTTGAAAAGTTAACCACGCTTAAGCCACAAATAACTGCCAGTGCACGGCAGAGGGCATGAATAATTCAGGCCACATTCTTTGACCAGGACACAATAAAAGTAGATATTAATAATGAAAAATAAACACACAGGGCTTCCAACCACTGAACTTCCAAATAGTTGGAAACTTAAGAAAATGCCCTCTTAAGGACTGTCAGCCTAAAAGAGAACTTAAGAACATAATTACACATTGTTTAGAAAAGAGTGAGGAAGAAGGGGTTTAAATGAATGGATAAAGCATTATAGTTTTAGGAGAATTCATAGCCTTAATTATTCTATTACTGAGCCCAAAGCAACAAAATTAAGTGGAATCAAAAAAAAAAATTAAATGACCTCCAAAACAAAGCAAGGAAAACAGGAGGCAGGCCCAGCGAGGGAAGTTAATGTTAATAAGGAAGAATGACACTGGCAACCTAGAGCTGGTGCTCTCTCTCCTTCTCCCCTCCTCCCATGTGTGTGTCATTGCATGTATAGACATGGGCGTGTGTGCGTCTAGGGTCTGGTAGGAATCGTAACAATAAGAAAAGGAGATGAAGTATCTTAATTTGAGGGTAACCACAAATGCTTAAAATTAGGAATTCAAATACTTAAGCACAACAAATACAGGCAAGAGTTTTTTCTTTCTTTCTTTCTTTCTTTCTTTCTTTCTTTCTTTCTTTCTTTTTAAACTATTATTTTTAAATGTAAAAGCACATGGTTTAGGCAGGGCGGTGGTGACAGAGGCAGGCGGATCTCTGTGAGTTCGAAACCAGCCTGGTCTACAAGAGCTAGTTCCAGGACAGGCTCCAAAACTACAGAAAAACCCTGTCAAAAACAAAAAACAAAAAACAAAAAAAAAACCATGATTTCTAATCGTAGACAAATCAAATCCAACCCTTCCATAAGATTCAAATTATCAAAATTACTTCAAGAACACTTGCAATGGGAGGGGAAGAAGAAGAAGATACTGGGGAGGAAGAGGAGGGACAGGGATAGGGGAGGGGAGAGGAGAAGACATTTGAAAAGTGCATGTCTACTAGAAGGCACCAGGCCTAGATGGTTTTACGAGCTAAACGTGCTGAAGCTCTAAGGAAATGACCAGCCATAAGCTATTATCCCAGACCAAGAAACATATGGCAGGTCTCTCAGCCTGCACACTCTGACCCTTTATAGCACGGAGACATACCATAGCTCAGTTTGGTGATAAACCAAGCATTTTCTCTGAGTAGGTAGCAACGCCACTATCTTTGACATCAGCGGGTTCCTATAAGCCCAGGTCGTTCCCTAGCTTTTTGAGGGCAGAGGCTGCCCTTCCGATCCCCACTCACTCCCTCTCCAGCCATCAACCAATCACATTCTATAAGCTGCATCCTGTCACCTAGCTCTGGATCCCCGGGCTCATCTGGTTCCCTTGGCTCCCTGCCCTGCCAGGAGCCCGCGGATGCCAGGCACTCTGCCTTTAATCCGGCCCCTTGTTCTTCCTTCAGTTCTAGCCTGTCAACTGCTGGCTAATTACTGCTCATGTCAAAACAATTACTGGGAAGAAAAACTAATTTTCCATTCAACCGTTTCTCCCCACACAGCAGTTTTCTCCTGACCCCATCGTGTTACGTGTCTCTCTACTCCAGGCAGGACTGTTCAGAAAGCCTACCAGTGAAAACGAGAACGGTTCAAACCCATGAGATCCAGGACCCTTTTCCACGAGCATCCCCACCCTCTGGGCTCCTAATTCACCAGCCACTGGCCACAGGATAAATGAAGCCCAAGTGAGGGACTTCCAAGGCGTCCTCCAGCCTCTGAGAGGGAAGTAAAACTGATCAAGGACTACACAACCATAAAGAGCATAGAACAGGCTGGGGATATAAGAAAAAAGCATAAAATGCCAAACTCAGGGGTTTCTATGACTTAAAAAAGGGAATGAAAATCTCCAACTGGCTGGTAACCGCAGTAACTTCAAAAATAAACGCAAACGCAGGCACCCACACATTGACTTCTGCTTCACGGCCCATCAGACAGAGGG